CAGGGAAGGAAACAGGGAACTGCTCAGGAAGGAAGTTTGGAGGGAATCAGATGGAAAGGTGGGAGAAAAACAGACGCTGAAGTACTACAAGAAATCCAGCAGGTACCCAAATGTGAGAATTAAATAGGAGTTACGTGCTGTGCAGAGGACATTGGAGATTTGGAAGGTACGTATTTTATGTTATATAACAGCTCAACCACTCTATAACCTGGTAAAAAGAAATGCAGTCCAATAGTGGACCCCACAGCATGGAGACTCAGGATTACATCCACAAGATCTGGCACCTCACAATTAGTGAATGTTGACCTGCTCAAACCATGGTGGTGCTCAAGATGTTGTGCATCTTCACCAGCTCTGAAAGGACACTGTACAAGCTCTCCCAGGCTCCATGTAATCACCTTGAATATATGTTATTTTTTAAATCTTATATCACCATCCCTTGCTCAGTTCATGTGTAGCCACATTTTGAGGAAGAGATTCTTGGACATCTATGCTAATTTTGCAAACCAATATTGCATGCCAGTTTTGTTATTACAGCGTACTCAATTCAAACATGTTATACAGACAAGGGGACATATCCACTTCTGTGTTAAGAACTGGACAGAGTGGATAGAGTGGAATAGAGTGCAAAGAGCTGCCTCTGAGAAACAGCCATGATCAGGTTGAGAGCTGGTGGGTGAAAATCAGGGACCAGACCAATTAAGGACATCTGGTGGTCAGGGTCTACTACAGCTGCCTGACCAGGGGAGCCTGTGGATGAGGGCCTACATTTCATGCAGCTGAAGCAATAAGGCTTCATCCTGATGGGGATTTCAAGCACTTCAGTGGCTGCTGGGAAAGCAGTGTAGCAGTGTTTAAGCAATCCCAAAGACTCCTGGAGTGCATTAAGGAGAGAGGAGCAGTGTTTCTGGACTTGGTACTCACCAACAGAGAGGAGCTCATTAAAGAGGTTAAGACTGGAGGCCCCTCTGGGCTGTGGCGACCATGCTCTGATGGAGTTTGTGATCTTAAGGAGGATGGTCCTGGGAAAAAGCAAAGTCAAGACCCTCGAGTGCAAGCTTCAGCCTATTTAATGGATTTCTGAGTGAGATTCCCCTGGGAAGCTGTCCTTAGAAACAAAGGAGCAGAGGAAAGCTGGCAACTCTTTAAGGATGCCTGTCTGAGAGCACAAGAGCTCTCCGTCCCCTGCTATAGGAAAACTAACAGAGGAGGCAGGAAATCTGCACGGCTGGGCAAAGATCTGCTGGTCAAACTGAGGGATAAGGACAAATAGTGGAAATTGGTGAGGGATGTGAAAAAAAAGAAAGAATTCTACGGTGCATTAATCAGAAGGGAAAGGCTCTGGCACAGGCTGCCCAGAGAAGCTGTGGGTGCTTCATCCCTTGAGACCTTCATGGTTGATTGGGGGCCCGGGAAGCCTGGTCTAGTGCATATCAACCCCGCCAATGGAAGGGGATTGGAACTGGATCACATTTTAGGTCCCTTCCAATCCAAGCTGCTCACAATCACACATCCAAGTGTGATTCCATAACTGTGATATTTGTGAGGAAATGAGAAAGAGAACTTCCCAGCTTTAAGAAGAGAAGAAATGAAATTTGAGCACAGCTTGGCAACCTTTGTACTCATTTGCTATATCACTTTTCTCACCAGATTGCAACACAGCCCAGTAGATGCAATACCCAGTCTCCTACAATCTGCAGCAGTTTGTTATTCACAGTCCTGATGGCCTCTAAATAGACCCCTAATTTTTTCCTCCTTTCTGCACAATGAAATTGTTAAAATGGAAGAGTTATACTCCAGTGAAAGGAATGCAGGTGCAAAATGCATCTCAGCACTGTCAACTGCAGTTGGTTGTGGCGAGCTCTCCTTGGATCTGGATTCAGAAAGAGCCCTTTGAATTCACCAGGAGAGGTAAATAAAGGCACAGAAGGTGTCTCTGCTCTTCCAGGTGTCTCTCTGTAACTTGGTCTCTAAGCACCCACGAGTAATGAAAATAAGAAATCAGCAGTTTCACTACCTTTTAGTAGTAGTCAGTTCATGGTTTTGGCTTCTTCCCTCCTTCGGGGAAAGAAGAAGGCCTATGAGGGAAATTCATCAGCTGTTTTTCATGCACTTTCATAGCCTTGAAAACATTAGGAAGAAGACAGTAATATAAAGAAAGTGTAGAATATTGCCTTCGTGGCTTTCAGTAACCATAACATCTCTGTCCCTCGCAGTTTTGTTTAACAAGGATGAAAATTGCAAAAGTCAGCGTGTTTCCCCTACTGCTGCACTTCCTACCGTGCACAACTGCTTTCTTTCCATCTCCAAGCCTGGAAGAGACAGAGATGCTGAGCAGCAAAGCTCCTTTTCTTAGAACTTGTTGGGACATTGTGCTTCTTGGAGGAGCCTGTGTAACACCAAGGGAAACAGAAAGGACACTGTTTTTATCCAACTCCCCCTGCGGTGATTAAAAAGTAATATTTTGATAAAATATTTTGATAGATATTTTAATAAATGATCAGATTTTTAAAAATAACCCATTCCTACTTGTCACTGATGACAAGGAGGTGGCTCATAGCTGGGTTTAAGGGTGTTGTTAAGAATCTGAAAAGAACCAAGAAGACTGTCAGAGCAGGGCTGGTTTCAATGTAATCCCATAAAACAGTCCCAGAGACCTGAATCACCAGATCCTTAATATAACTCTTAACATAATAATATTATATATATAATATTATGAATATTATAATACTAAATAATAATAACTTAATATAACTTATTAATATATTAGGATTTTGCAGTAACCCACTACCATTCTGAAGAAGAGTCTCTGCATTCAGGAGGCATTACACATTTCTATCTGCACCACTCACATCCTTTGAGGAGAAACACTATAAATAAATTCGGATTAATAAAAAGTAATTGAGAAAAAATGGCACTAAATCACTGGCCTTGCCAGTAACCCATCTGTGATTTTATTCAAGAAATTCTGAGGGCACAAAGAGCGGCTCTGAAACTCTGCACCATCCCATAATGGCGGCCTGAATGGCAATAAGCGTGCAGTGAAAGAATTTCTTTTTGGCATTTTCATACAATGAAAGTATTAAGTATTAATTTTACCATTAAGATCTGAGGTCTGAGAACTTTCTCCTGCTGAGAAAGCGAGCTTGGAATCCAACGTGTCTGCTCGTTTCCCTGGCAATGGGCAGGGAAATCAGCTATTTCTTCCAAACACAAAGATCTGGAAGCTGAGCAAAGCTTGTAAATAACTTTCATTCCTCAAGACACATTTTTTCCAAAAAGCAGCTTTCCAAAAGGGTGGATGATTGTATCCTTGCATGCCTCACCTCATGGAGAGACAAAGAAAAGTGGGTGCTTTGGCTTTGCCCAGAGGTCTGGTCTTTGACTGGGGACATTCAGGGAGCAGAACTCTTTGTGGGTGATTTGGGAACACTTCAAAGTTTAAATTTATGTTGTGCTGTGTCTGTCTTGGTGATGCTGTGGGCCTTCCAGCTGCAGCTCTCCACCTGCTCTATCCCAGTTTTATTCCTATCTTCTTTCTGCTATTACAGCCCACCCTAAAACAGGAACCCTAGAGCTGAGTTTGGGGGTCTGTGAGGCTTCCCCCATCCTGGCCCCATAAGGTGCAGTGCTGCTTTCACCATTTACAACCATTCCAATTTGCAGCTGATGTCAGGTGTTGTTGCACTCCCCCAAAGGTCCTCAGGACTCTCCTTTGGATCACATGGGGCACATTCATCCCTTGTGGAGCTCTCCTTTAATCCTGCAGCTCTGCAGCCTGGCTGCATTACCCCCCTCTTTCTCTATGAGCATCCTTCTTGCACATAAGGAAGCAAATCCCAATGAAAGGAACTGATCAGCACAAGCTAGGAGGTGCTGAAGGAATCATTACCTGCAGCATCCTGCATCTCCGTGTGCACGTAGCATCAGCAGCCTCCTGCTGGTTCTGCCTCAGTGACTGAGGAGCAGTAGGTCACATCTTTGTGCTTGGCATTCTTGTGCATTTTGCTTGGCGCTCACATTCATGCAGATCATACAATGGCTCAGGTTGGAAGGGACCTCAAGGACCATCAAGCTCCAACCCCCCCTGCTGCAGGTAGGGCCACTAACCTCCATATCTAATACTAGGCCAGGCTGGCCAGGGCCCCATTCAACCCAGAATCATAGATCTCTTTTGGTAGGTCTGTGTCTGTGCTGCAGACTCTTCCATGCAATACTTATTGTAAACATTACCTTGCCCACTGAATGTCACTTCCCATGCAGGCTGCAACATGATAAGCCATGGTGCTCAGGAGGGATTCTGCACCTGCAAAGCCAAGCTGCATGGGATGAACTCAGAAACAGATTGCAGGAATCCACCCCCTCCCTTTGGCTGCAGATGGTTTGTGGGCACCTCACCAGGATTTGGGCACTGAAAGTTGCAGAGGTGGAATCTCAGCCTGTGAAGCCTCAAATTAATAAGCTTTTCTGCAGGACGAGAGATTTTCCTGTAGCCTGGCCTCACTGCCTGCAGGTCCAGAGCCCTCAGGCTGTGATTTAGGAGAGGCAGGTGTAAATGAAAAGCATCCGCACGCATTTCGGCTACCGATCTCAGGCGCCTGGCGTGCAGCCCAGCTGCTGGGCTCTGCCTCCGCGTCCCTGTGCCTCCTCTGTCCCCTTCCTTCATAGAATCGTGGAATGACTTTTGTTAGAAAGGACATTAATTATCATAGAATGGCTTGAGTCGGAAGGGATCTTAAAGATAATAGAATTATGCAAAGGTTTATAATGGAAGGAACATTAAAGATCATAGAATCATAAAACAGCTTGGGTTGGAAGGGACCTTAAAAGCCCGTTCAATTCCAACCCCCCTTCCATGGGCAGGGTTGCCACCCACTAGATGAGGCTGTCCAGGGCACCATCCAATGTGGCCTTGAACACCTCCAGGAATGGGACACCCACAGCTTCTCTGGGCAACCTGTGCCAGTGCCACACCACCCTCTGACTTTAAAAAAAAAAAAAAAAAAAAAAAAAAACAACTTCCTAATATGTCGCCTAAATTTTCCCTCTTTTATTTTAAAATCAGTCCTTTTTGTCCTGCCACTGTCTTGAGGGAAAACAGTTATAAAAAAAAAAGGCAAAACACAGAGAGTTTTATTAAGCTTCAGCATCTCAGCTGATTTCCAGCTCTCCTTCCACTGTGCAGCGGTGTTCTTCTTGCTTAGTCCGAGATCATAAAGCTATAGTCATGGAATTCTAGCCATAGAATCATAGGGATGATGGAAAGGTTTGGGTTGGAAGAGACCTTAAAGACCACACAGTTCTAAGCCCATTCATGGGCACGGACACTTCCCACTAGATTTCCCAAAGCCTTATCCATTCTGGCCTTGAGCAATTCCATGGAAGGGGCATTTACAATTCCTCTGGACAACCTGTTCCAGTGCCTTATCACCCTCATCCCAAAAAATTTCTTCCTTCAGGACCCTGAAGTCCATTCACATGCCAGCATCTTCCACATGCAGAGCCAACCCAATGTGCTCTCCCTCTGTCTCTTTTATATATCCACATCCCATCCTCTCAGTGCAAATTTTCCACCTTTGGCAGAGCCATGAATTGTTCAGAGGGAGCTGTATTCCAGGTTGATCTCCTCTCCCTCAAGCACTAGGAATTTGCCCCACAGCTCTTCCCAACCTATCTGTGTGCCTGGTGTGCTTACATTTGTCTCCTCACCTCATTAATGCCAAGGAAATCCTTTGGCATCTTAACTGATTACAGCAGGCTGACATCCTCCTCACACAGGTATGAAAGGAGTGAATGTCAGATCCATTTCTGGGTTCCCCTGCAGAACTGATGAGCAGTTTTACCACCCACCTCCACCAAGCTGTTGCACCAGTCTTAACAATTTTGACTGGCTGCTCTCCTCCCATTTCTCTGTGTCCTGCTGGCTGCTCTTTCCTTGGCTTTCCCTTGCTCATTTGTTGCTCAGGTGCTTTGCCATTGTATTCATTAATAGGGTGTAAAGTGTCAAGGGTCCCTGACCTCCTCCAAATACAGCCTGAGGTGTTTCTTCTCCTTCCCCTGCCCACACTGTGCTCCTGGCCTGGCTTTCTGCTCCTGATGTTCTCACCCAGGGGACCAAGTGGAGTCCAAGGCTTCCATTCCAGCCCACAAGAAACATAGAATCATAGAATGGGTTGGCTAGGAAGGGACCTTAAAGTCCATCTATTTCCAACCCCCTGCCATGAGCTGGTTGCCACCCAGGTTGCCCAGGACTCCATCCAACAGGCTTTGAGGACCTCTAGGGATAGAGTAACCACAGCTTTTTTGTGCAAGCTGTTCCAGTGCCTCACCACCCTCTGAGCAAAAAAAATCCTCCTAACATCTAACCTAAATCTTCCCTCTTTTAGTTAAATACCATTCCCCCCTTGTCCTATCACAATCAGACTGTGCAAAAAGTCACTCCCTCTCCTGTTTATAAGCTCCCTTGAAGTACTGGAATGTTGCAATGAGATCTCCCTGGAGCCTTCTCTTCTCCAGACTGAACAAACCCAATTCTCTCAGCCTCTTTCCATAGAAGAGGTGCTCCAGCCCTCTGGGCATCTTTGTGGCCTCCTTTGGATCCTCTCGAACAGCTTCACGTCCATTCTGTGCTGCATTCCAAGAAGAAGAAGACACCAGCCCACACCCCAAGGACCTCTCCGTGCCATGTTGGAGATGCCAGCTAGTGGCACAGGGCCATGGCGCTGGCGGGTGTTGTGGGCATGCTGTTCCCCTCCCCATAACTGCTGTCACCGCACACCCCATCATCCCCTGAACCCCTAGCAAGGGGTGACTGAGGGCCACCATCCACCACTCCATGTGAATCACCATCCCCCCCTCCATGTCCATCACCATCCACCGCCCCCGGCCCATCAGGGCCATCGGTCTGATCCCTGCTGCTGGGTGCTGTCAGCCAGGGCAAGGCCAGGTACTTGTGTACCTCGATGGCTGGGCTGCGGCGGTCAGGGTCAAGCCGCAGCAGGCGCTGCAGCATCTCCTGTGCCCCACACTCAAAGCCACCCCAAGACTTTGGTGCCTCCCGTCTCACTGTGTCACCCTGCCAAGCACTGAAGGCTTCAAACTGGGGGTCAGGGCTGGCAGCTACAGCCCAAGGGAAGCAGCCAGTGCAGAGGCAGAAGAGCAACACAGCAAAAGCCCAAACATCCAGGCTGGAGTCCAGCTCCAGTGTGTCAGAGCCCTGCAGCAAGCAGAGCTCCGGCGGAGCGTAGGGCAGTGCGCCAGACATGGCACCAATTTCTGAACCTTGCAGGCGGGTGAGCCCAAAGTCAGCCAGCTTCACGCGGCGGCACTCGTGGTCGAAGAGCAGCACGTTGTCCAGCTTGACATCCCGGTGCACCAGGGCCCGGCTGTGCATGAAATCCAGTGCCTCGGCCAGCTGAGAGGCACAGCGCTTTACCAGCACCTCGGGCAGGCCCTCCTGGGGAAGGCAGCAATGTCACTTCCCTCGGAGGGGCTGATGCAGCACCTTGCCTTGTGCCACCAGCATGGGACACACCCCATAGCAGCCCCCAGAGGTATCCCTGTACCACAGAGGGGCTCCTGGTGCACCACATGAGCTTGCACTCCACTGCAAAGGGTGTCCATGCAACACTCTGCATGCACCGCGTGTTCCCATGCACCATACTGAAAAATACATGGCTGTGCAACCCACTGCAAAGGATCTCCTCAGGAATACCAGAGGCATGCACACTGCTGCAAAGGGTGTCCCCATGCACTGCACGAGCATGTGCCCCATTGCAGAAGGTCTCCCCGTGAACACCATAGATACACATCCCACTGCAAATGATTTCCCCATGCATCACACAAACATGCTCCCTATAGTAAAGAGCATGCACACACATCCTCCCCATGATCTCACACCACTGCAAGGTCCGTTTTGCTCCCCACCCCCTCCCTGTACCCACTGCAACATCCTCCCAGCCCCTTCTCCTCCCCAGCACACTGTTGTGCCCCCCCAGCCCTGAGGCACACACACCCCTGGTGTGAGCAGGTTGCACAAGTCCCCAGCGGGAGCCAGCTCCTGCCCAAAGGCAAAATGTGTGGAGTTCTCAAAGGCAAGGGGCAGGGCATGGATGCAGGCAGCATGACCAGAGAGGCACCGGGCTATGCAGTATTCCCGCAGGAATGCCCGTCGCTCTGTCCGTTCCTTCAGCATCAGTTTGAGGACCACCGGCGAGCCTGGGATGCAGAGAGAGGGACAGCACCAAGGTTTCGGGTCCACGTACATCATGAACATGCAACTCCAATGCAAAGGGTGTCCCCATTCACATCACAAGCATGCAACCCCACTGTGAAATGTGTTCCCATGCACACTGTGAGCATGCAACTCCAATGCAAAAGATGTCCTCATGCACTACACAAGCATGAGGCGTAGCATTGGGGCAAAGACCCCACAACTCCTCACCACCATCCCGGGGCTCAGTGAGCACCACATGGCCATAGGTTCCGCTGCCCAGCTCTCCCAGCACGCAGAACTGCTCCTCCAGCTCCTGCCACTGCAGTGCCCGGCCCGCCTGCATCATCAGCTGCTCCAAAGCTGCCGCGTTGTCCTCCTCGTCCTCCTCCGGCTCTGCCATGGCCCTGCAGAGACCAACACCATGCTGCAATGGCCCCATATCATGCAGAGGGAGTACCCAGATGGCACTGCCCAGTGCACACCAGTTTGGCCCAGCCTAGTGCAGCTCAGACCAATCTTGTCTAAAACAGCCCAGTCCAGCCCAGTTGAGCCCATTCAGCCCAATATTGTCCAGTTCATCTCGCTTCAGTCCAATTCAGCCTAGTCTAACTCAGATCAATGCACCCCAGCCCAGTCCAATCCCTGTCGAGATGTAGGGAGCATCCCAAAGGGGAACAAGCAGAGTTGTGACACTGCCCCATATCAGCCCCACATCTCACCCCACATCACCGCATGGCAGCGGGTCAGCTCTGTCACCTCCACGTTCCTCCATCCCCAGCTGTGCAGCAGGATCTTTGACCTACTGCCACTGCCAGGTAAACGGGACAGCAGCAAGAACCCTGTACTCCCCCATAGCCCTGCTGCAGGGCTGTAAGGAAGCCACAGGCAAAACACAGGTCGGGGTTGCACAGGGACAAGCAAGTAGCCTCACCTGAGTCCCTGAAGTGTCCCTGCAGCACAGCTTTGTGACACCAGCCCCACGGCGCCCGCGGCCGTGACTCAGATTTTCCTGCGCACTCCGACACCGTCGGACCCAGGGCAGCGCTGGGCCGTGTTAATCTGTCCCAGTGGATTGGGAACATGTGCAAGGCACAAGGCGTGCCGAGAGCCAAAGATAGGAAGGGGCAGGACAGACAGGGCACGGTGTGTGGACAGACAGACAGGATGCAAAAAGAGATAGAGCATTGCATGGGGACAGAGAAACAGCGTGAGATGCAAAGAGAGTGAGGGCACTGTGTGGGGACAGACAGAGAGCATGCAGCACAGGACAGACAGACAGCACGGAGCATGAAACAGCATGGAGTGAAAATTTAGCTTCTCCTAAGTCCTTAGATAAGGAGGTTGTATGTCCCAGTGTTCTAGAGGTTAATGAAGGGCTAATTAGATTAAACTCAATATTAATAAAAATGGGATTACCTTTATTAATACTGATCATTGTTCTATAAGTTTTAGTGATTTAGTCAGGCACAGGGTGGGGGGAGCTCAGAGGATGCAGCTGGGTATCCCCCCTTATTCTGCTCTTAGTGTGGGCTGCCTGGTGCCCCAAAATCAAACTTGCCCCTGCTCCACGAAAAGGTGTGGGGCTGACCCTCTGCTTCAGAGCCCATTTCTGTCTCTCCTCCTTTTCCCACATCCATCTCCTCCCCCTCGAATTTCTAGGCTTTCCTCCCTTCATCTCCCTATTTCCCACCACCACATCCCTCCCTCTTTCCAGTTGCCACGACCATATCCCTCTCCCCAAATTTACACATCCTCATGTCTCTCTCTCCCCCCTTTCCCATCCCTATATCCTTCCTTCTTCTCACTTCCCTCATCCACATCCTTCTCTCCCCATTTTCCCACATCCTTATACCTCCCTTTTTCTTCTTTTCCACATCCATATCCCTTCCTCTACCTTTTCTCTATCATATCCCTTCCTCTTCCTCGTTTCCCATATCCCTATAACTCCTTCTCCCAGTCTTCCATATCCTCCATCTCTCATTTCCCACAGCCCCAAGTTGCCCCCTTTTCTTACATCCATACTCCTCCCTCTCCCTGTTTTCCCACATCCTTTTATCTCCCTTTTCCTTCTTTTTCAACACTCATATACCTTCCTCTCCCTCTTTTTCCATATCCCTATGCTTCCCTTTCCCCATTTTCCATATCCACATTCCTCCCTTTTCCCATGCCCATATCTCTTTGTCTCCCTTTTCCTGCACCCACATCCTTCCCTTTTCCCTATTTCCCACAGCCCCATCTCTCTCTCTACCCTTTTCCCCACATCCTTATGCCTTCCCTCTCCCCACTTTCCATAACCCCTCTCTCTCCCATCTTCCACAGTCCCATCTCTTCCTCTCCCCTCATCCCACATGCGTATCCCTCCTTCTCCCCAGTTCCCACAACCCTCTTCTTCTCTTTTCCTACATCCTTATGCCTTCCTCTTCCCATTTCCCATATCCACATCTCTCTCCCACCCCTTTTCTTTCATCCTTTCCCATGCCCACATCCATTCCTCTCCTTTTAACCCCATGGTAGGGGAGGTGGAACTAGATGGACTTAACGGTCCATTCTGTGCCATTCTATGATTCCTCACATCCTTATCTTTCCCCCTCCCCAGTTTCCACAGTCTCATCCCTCCTCTCCCCAGTTCCCATGACCATACCCTTCTCTTTCCTCATTTCCTACGCCTTTTCCCCCCTTTCCCCACATTCTTATCCCTCCCTCTTCCCTATTTCCCACAGTGCCATCTCTCCCTCTCGTTTTTCCCGTGGCCATATTCCTGCCTCTCTCCAGTCCCCATGGCCATATTCCTCTTTCTCCCCTCTCTTCCTACAACTTTTTGCCCCTCTCTCCCCTTTTCCCACACCCTCTTTTTCCCAAGACCACATACCAGCCCATTTTCCACAGCCCCATCCTTCCCTCTCTCCCCATAGCTGTTCCCTCTCCCTCCCCACCTGCTCTTTCCCCTATCCCAGCTGCTCCTGCTTGCCCTGACCCCAGCTGTCTGGGCCATAATTAACCCCTGACACATAATTAACACCTGACAGCACATTAGCAGGCCCTGCTGGCACGTGGAAAGGTCACTGAGCTGTACCTCTCACCCTGTTCTCTCCAACCCTATTACAGGGAGCAGACGTTGATGGTGGGGGTGTCCACTTGCTATGGGGCAGCGGGTGTGGGGCTGATTGCTCCATCGCCATCCTGCCCCATTGAAAAGCATCAACAGAGCCCAAAGCAGAGACAAGGCCCAGTGCCAACCCCATGGCACCCAGCCCTGCGGGGGTGGCTAAGGGCAGGGGCGGGGGCACCGACAGCTGCTGGGACACAGAAATAGCCGGGGCCAGGTGGCAGAGCTCAGCCTTGGGGATGCAGCCAGGACCTGGCCCCATGCCGAGCCTCAGTAGTTGGGGCCAGCCCAGTGCTCCTGGGCTTGACCCCCACATCCCTTTCTGCTGGGGGCAAACTCCCCCCTCCGTAAACCCCAATACCCCCATTGCTGAGTTGCTGCACTGCTGCCTACTGCTCCATGCTGTGGCATCTCCAAACCCTGGCCCCATTGCCCCCGTTGTCCAATTCTGTGCCCTCCCAGCCCCCACTGCCTCACTCCCTTCCACTTCCCACAGCTCCCTATACCCCCACTCCTTGCCCTTCCACAAACCAATGGCTTTCTGCACTCCATAACCCACCTCATGGTCTCCCATTGCCCCATATCCACCCACTCGCTCCCCATCTCCCCTCTGGCTGCCCCCCCAGCAGGGACTGGCCCCAGCCCCACATCCCAGAGCTGCTGGCTGGGTGCCAACCCCATGCCCTGGCAGCAGGTGCCGGCAGCAGACAGGTGGCTGGTAGGATTAGCACTAACGAGTAGTTTCATAATGGGGTCAAGAGGCCACGGGGGGGGGAACAGGACAGGGGGACTTCAGCAGCACACCTGGGCCTGCCAGGACCCCAACACTTGGTGTGGTGCTCTATCCCAGTATCACCCCACTGCCCTAATCCCTATAGCCTTAGGCAGGTTCCATGCTCATGGATGCTGCTCGCTTTTAATGACACCATTAAAGGAATAGGGCTGGGGTGGGGGGGTGGCAGCAGATGGGGCTGAGGACCTGGATCCTTTTTGATTTTTGACCCTGCCTGGATGTGGGGGGTCTTGTTTGCATTTTGGGTCCTCTTTGGGTTGGGAGTTCTCTCTGGACAGGGAATCCTGATTGTGCTCAGGATTCTGTTTGGTTTGGGGTTCTGTTTGGCTCTGGATCCTGTCTGGATGTGGGGTCTTGTTTGGACTCTGGGTCCTTTTTGATTTTGGGAGGACGGTTTGTATTTTGTGCTCTGTTTGGGATGAGAGCCTGTTTGGTTTCGGGTCCTGTTTGAGCTCAGGATTCTTTTTGGGCTCTAGGTCTTATCTGGACGTGGGATCTTATTTGGGCTTGAGGACCTGTTCTGTTTTGGGTCCTAAGTTTGGGGGTCCTGTTTATATTTTGGGTCCTGATTAATCTTGGGGACCTGTTTGGTTTTGGGTTCTGTTTGGAGTCAGGATCCTTTTGGGGCAGGGGATACTGTTTGGGCTCTGGATTCTGTTTGGGTTTGGGTTATTTTTAGACTCTGGGTCTTGGCTGGATGTGGGGTCTTGTTTGGGCTCTGGGTCCTTTTTGACTGTGGATCTTGTCTAGTTTTGGGAGTCCTATTTGTATTTTGGGTCCTGTTTGGACAGAGAGTTCCATTCAGGCTCAGTTCTGTTTGGCTTTGGATCCTGTTTGCACTCAGGATTTGTTTGATTTGCAGTCCTGCTTGGGTTTGGGTCCTGTTTGGGTTCCTTACACAGATGCTGCAGGAAGGCCAGATGCAGTTCCTGACACTACTGGGGCCAGCGCCATGATGCTCAGGGATCCTGTAGGGAGAGAAGACTGAGCATGGCTGAACCCTGCTCCACAGGGTCCCGTGGCCGTCACCAAGCCATGGCGGCAGCCCCACACCTGGCATACAACTCCAACGTCCTCGCGATGGGTGCAGTCATGATATCCCCACACACGGTGTGCACAGTCCTGCAGGCTCTTCTCCTGCCCTCGGCATCGGACGTCATCCAGCCAGATGTGCCCAACACCGGACCCGAAACGTGGCTGCTCCCCATCCACGCCCTGCGCCTCGCCGCAGCCCAGCTCCCGGCACACCACAGCCGCGTTGGCCCTGCTCCATCCATCATCACACACCGTGCCCCAGCGCCCGGCTCGCTGCACCTCCAGCCGCCCCGCGCAACGCCTGGGCCCGCCAGCCAGCCGCAGCTTGAAGGGCTCTGTGGGAACACAGCAGTGACACCGGGTCTTGATGTGACACCAGGCTTCGTCACATCCCCACCAGGCCCCACCATGACACCAGGCCTCGCCGTGTCAACGCCAGGCCCCGCCATGACAGGCCTCGCTGTGTCCTCGCAGGCCTTGATGTGTCTCTCCCGGCCCCACCATGACACCAGGCCTCACTGTGTTCTCACCAGGCCTCAGTGTGTCCCTGTTAGGCCCAATCAAGACCCCAGGCCTTGATGTGTCCCCTCCAGGCCCTGCTATGACACCAGGCCTTGTCACATCCCCACCAGGCCCTGCCGTGACCCTAGGCCTCGCTGTGTCCCCACAGGGCCTCACTGCATCCCCACCATGCCCTGCCATGACACCAGGCCCCGTCACGTCCCCTCCAGGCTGCAAGGCCCGGTCCTGCCCCGTGCTCACCCTCGCAGTTGACAGCAGCCACACGGTTGGATGGACAGGACGCAGCGTCACCTGGCTGCAGCTCGCAGTGCTCCAAGTCCAGCTCCTGCCCCACACACTGCACCTGACGCAGACCCACCGCGTTCCCCTCAGCCATGGGTGGGCTGCAGGGCACCGGGACAGCACGGGGGCGGCCGCAGCCCAGCTGGCGGCACAGGACTTGGGCAGCTGCAAGGTCCCAGCCTGTGGCACAGACCGAGGCCCAAGAGCCAGCCTGCAGCAGCTCCACACGGCCCTGGCACTGGGAATGGCCGCCGGAGAGCTGGGCAGGCACTGCTGGGGAGAGCAGGAGAGTGAAGCGTGGGGAGCTGCATGGCCTTCCCAGTGCTGCACCAGCCTGACCAGCACAGCCCCAGTCTGCCCAGTGCAGCACCAGTTTGTTTAGTACAGCACCCAGTCGTAGCAAAGCCCCAGCCCAGTTCCAGCATGCCCAGTTCAGCCCCACGCTGCCCAGTTCAGTCCCAGTCTGCTCAGCTCAGTCACAGCAAAGCCCAAGCACAGCCCCACTCTGCCCAGTTCAGCCCCAGTCTGTTCAGCATGGTCCCAGCACAGCCCCAGTCTGCCCAGCTCAGTCCAAGACTGCCTAGTTCAGTCCTAGTTTGCCCTGCTCAGTCTCAGTATTCCCACCATACTCTCAGTATGCTCAGCACAGCCACAGCCCAGCCCCAGTTTAAGCTCACTCCCAATCTGCCTAGCTTGGCCCCAGCATAGCCCCGGTCTTCCTATCTCGTTCCCTGTCTGTGCAATTTGGTCTCAGTCTGCCAAGTACAGCACCAGCACAGCTCCAGTCTAACCAGAACAGCCCCACTACAGCTCCAGTGTGCCCAGCTCAGTCCCAGTGTGCCCAGAACAGCCCCATCACAGCTGCAACACAGCCCCAGTCTGCCCAGCACAGTCCCAGTACAGGGACCCAGCATAGTCCCAGTATAGCCCATCTGTCCTGTACAATTCTAGTCTGCCCAGTAAGCTCCCCAGTACTGCTCCAGTCTGCCCAGTTCAAGCCATCCCACCTGTTGCCCATGCCCTGGTGCCTGCTCCATCCAGTAACTGCTGGCCCCAGGGCACCCAAACGGTATCTGTGGGGACATCCCAGGACACCCAGTGACCCCCCGTGATGCCCAGGACACTCATTGACCCCAAGTAACACTCAAGTGGTACCCAGTGAACCCAGTGACACCCAACATACCAGATCCAATCACGGCACCGCAGCACAAAGCTGAGGGGGAGAGAAGTAGGAGTTGGAAAGAGACAGAGACACCCACAGACCATCCAAGACCCTCAGGATGCACCAGCCCACTGACACACAGCACAAAACATTTTCCTCCAGTTCTACTTCCATGTACTCCCAGCTCTGTACCCCTCCTTTTCCTTCAGTTCTGCCCACCATGCACCCCAGCTCTGCCTCCCCATATGCCTCCACCTCTGTGCCCCTCATGTGCCTCCCATCTCTATGCCTTCCATTTTCCCCCAGCTCTGCACCCCCCATGTCCTCACCCAGGCACAGTCCGAGGCTACGTAGCCCCCCCATGCTGCCAGCAGGGCCTCCCCAGCCACTGGGGCCACCCTTTTAACAGGGTGGCCATAGAGGGGGGGGCGAGGGGAGGAATCGAAAGCTGAGAGCAGGAACCCTGCAGCAGCCAAGCAGGCGCCAGGATGGGATGAGTCCTTCTCTCCCTCTCCCTCACCCCCTCTCTTTCACCATCTCCTTCTCCCTCTCCTTCACCTTCTCTCTCCCCCTCCCCCTCTATCTTCTCTCTCCCTCTCCCCTTCCCCCCCTCCCTCTTCAACACTCAAGATTGGTGAACCAGCCCAGCTTTATTTCCCTTGCCTCCTGTGCAAGGCCCCTCTCCGGATGCCCACACCCCCGTACAGCCTGGGGGGGTCCTCCAGGATGTGCTGCCCCACGGCAGCCAGCCTGCCCAGGCGGCGGGTGACAGCCTCCAGGCGCTGAGCTCCCCGCCGCTGGTTGCGGGCCAGGGCTCGTAGTTGCCCCCGCAGCTCCCGCACCTCCCACAGCAGTGCCCGCAGGGCAGGGGCCACACAGGATCCCCCCCGGTCCCATAGTGCAGAGAATGTTGGCATCGGTGGTGCTGGTTGAGCTGGACCTGTGGGGCGAGAAGCAGAGACCCCCTAAATCCTCTGTGTGTGTATATGTTTGCCCCTCCAGGACAACCCCTCTCAAAGCTAGGGACCCCACCCCGGCACCCATCCCTCCTCTCTCCAAAGCCAGCGGTCTCAGCATGTGCAAGTCCAGCATCTCATGGGCCCAAGCCTCACCCACAACCCCAAGACCTACCTGCACATGGGGGTCCAGGCAGTACAGAGCTTGCAGAATGGGTGCGGAAGGTCTCTGTGGGTGCTGGGGGAATCTGGGTGCTGAACAATTTCATGGGGTGCTGGAGGGGTGCTTGGGGAGTCTGAGTGCTGAAAGTCTCCAGTGGATGCTGGACAGGTGCTGAGGGAATCTGGGTGCTGGGGGGATCTGTGAGGTGCTTAAGGGATCCTGGGTGTGTCTGGGTGCTGCGGGGCTCTTTGGGGTGTTGGTGGGATATGGGGGGGGTCTGAGTGCTGAGCAACTTCATGGGATGTTTAGGGTATGCTGGAGAGTTCTGGGTGCCAAAGGTATTCATAGGGTGTTGTAGGGTTGATGGGGGCCTCTGGGTGCTGGGGGGCTCTGTGGAGTGCTGGGGCAATGCTGGGGGCCTCCGAGTGCTGAAGATCTCAGTGGATTGTTCAGTGGGTGCCACAGGGGGCTGACTATCAGAGGTCTCCTTGGGGTGCTGGGTGGGTGCTGGGGGGACCTGTGTGCTGAAGAACTCTGTTAGATACTGGGAGAGTGCTGGGGGGCTCTCTGTGGGGTGCTGGGCAGATTCTGGGGGTTTCTGGGTACTGAGGGTTTCTACGGGGTCCTCAGAGTGTGCTGGGAGGCTCTGGGGTCTGGGGATATCCATGAGGTGCTTGAAATGAGCAGCATTCATGTAAGGGCTGGTGGGATCTAGGGGAAGCACGGTGAGTGCTGGGGGGCTCTGAGGGCTCGGGTTCCTTGATGGCGTCTGGATAAATAGGTCTGGGGGTGTCCAGAAGCCAGAAGGCTCTGCAGGGGGATGTTGGGAGAGCAAAAGCTCTGTCAAGGCAGTGGGGCTCTCTGCAGGGTGTTGGATGGATGCTGGGGGTCCCTGGGTGTTGGGGATCTCAGGGTATTGGGTAGGTTCTGGGGGTCCCTGGGTACTGGGGGCCTCTGTGGGGTGCTGTGAGTGGGTGCCAGAGCCTGGACTCAGTTGAACAGCAAGGATAGGAGAGGCAGCCAGCCCCTGGGTGGGGTCCAGAGATGGAAAGGGTGATGAAACTCTAGTGGGCAGAGCAGAGATTCCCATTGGACCAGCACCTGGGGAGGAGACAGCCCATGAAATCCCCTTCAACATTCCTCAGATATCCATTGCCCCTCATTCCTCTCCTGCACCTTCTGCTTCTCCTCTCCCTCTCAAACACTTCCACCTACAGCCAGCCCATTGCTTTGGCTTTCCTCCATCCCTTCCTCCTCCACCTAATCTATCGTTGCCATTTCATCCATCCATCCATCCATCCATCCATCCATCCATCCATCCATCCATCCATCCATCCATTCCCCCATTTATTGTTCCCTGATATCTTTCTATCCACTCAGTCACCACCCTCCAGACTTTCTATTCTTTTCTCCTTCCCCTTTTCTGTCGTTTCAAACACCCCTTCTCCCTTCTGCCTTCTGCCCCACCACGCAGAATTCTTGCTGTCCATCCACCCCAGCCCTCCAACACTTTGTTCTTTTCCTTAACATTACTTTCAAGAACTTGCAGCCCTGTATAGTAGTCTGAACCTGATTCTGCTGTGGGAAGTGTTCTCCTCATGATTCCATCTGATGCTAGTTCTTCTGTGGGATGAGTACTCCACATGGGATCTCTTAGACTTGTTTCTGCTGCAATATGTTTACTCTCCATTGTGCCTTTGAGAATTGTTTCTGCTGAAGGATGTTTGCTTCTCATGGTACTATCTAGATCAAAATCGGCTGAAGAATGTGTGTCCCATGCGGTACCTTCTTGATCAGATTCAGGTGCAGGACGTGTGCTCCAGGTAGAAATATCTGCTGTGGGATATGCACCCCATATGCTAACACCCAAGCCCAATTCTGCTGAAGAATGTGCACTCTGCACAGTACCATCTGGATCAAGTTCTTCTGGAAGATGTGTGGTCCACACAGTACTTTCTGGACCCAGTTCTGCTGCAGGATGTGTGCTCCTCATGGTAACATCTGGACCCAGTTCTGCTGCTGGACTTGTGCTCCTCATGGTAACATCTGGACCCAGTTCTGCTTCAGGACTTGTGCTCCTCATGGTAACATCTGGACCCAGTTCTGCTTCAGGATGTGTGCTCCTCATGGTAACATCTGGACCCAGTTCTGCTGCTGGACTTGTGCTCCTCATGGTAACATCTGGACCCAGTTCTGCTGCTGGACTTGTGCTCCTTGTGCTAACATCTGGACCCAGTTCTGCTACAGGACTTGTGCTCCTCATGGTACCATCTGGATCAAGTTCTGCTGCAGGACTTCTGCTCCTCATGGTACCTTCTGGACCTGGATCTGTTGCAGGATGTGTGCTCCCCATTGTAAGATCTGGACCTACTTCTGTTGTGGGATATGTGCTCCCCATGATACCATCTGGATCCAGTCCTGCTGTAGGACTTGTGCTCCTCATGGTACCTTCTGGACCTGATTCTGCTGCAGGATGTGTGCTCCCCATGGTATGATCTGAACCTAGTTCTGCTGTGGGATATGTGCTTCCCATGATATTATCTGGATTCAGTCCTGCTGTAGGACCTGTGTTATTCATGGCACCTCTAGGGTCTGGTTCTACTGAAGTATGTGCTCCTCCCATGTTACCATCTGGGTCCAGTTCTGTTAGAGGATGCATGCTCACAGTACCTTCTGGACTCAGTTCTGTTATAGGATCTGTGCTCTTCATGGTACGTTCTGGAGCTGGCTCTGCTGTGGGATATATGCTCCACATGGTGCTTTCAGGACCTAGTTCTGCTGCATGTTGAGTGCTCCTCACGAGACCTTCAGAACCCAGTTCTGCTGAGGGATGTGAAACCCACGAGGTCACTTCCAGACTTGGTTCTGCTGTAGGAGCTGCACTCTTTGTGGTACCTTCTGGATCTGCTACTACAGGAAGTGTGCTCCCCACGGGATCCCCTGGACCTGGTTCTCCCAGGCTGTGGTTATTCCATATGGCAGCACTTGCCTGGAGCCTTGTGGTAATGGCTGAGTCCTGCTCTGCATTAGACCTGGTGCTTTGCGTGACACCAGCAATCTCCTGTCCCATATTGCCTTGGATAGCACTAACAGCATCCCATCCTGCCAGCCCCTGGGTGCTCCTGGTGGAACTAACTGGAACCTGTCCTGCTTGAGGCTTGGTGCCTGGTGTGGTCCCCACCAAAACCCAACGCCTGGTGCTCTGGTTGGCTCCCACAACAATCCGCTCTGCTTTGGGATGGGCAATCCACATGGTACCAAGCGGATCCCGTCCCACTTTGGGTCGAGTGATGCGGACGGTGCCAGCTGGATCCCATCCTGTCTTGGACCTATTGGTGCCAGCTGGATCCTGTCCTGCTTTGGTCTTGTTGATGCCCACCAGATGCTGTCCTGCTTTGATTTTGTTGATGCCAACAGAAACCTTTGACCTGTTGTTACCACCTGGATCCAATCTCACTTTGATCTTGTTGATGCCAACAGAATTCTGTCCTACCTTGGACCTGTTGGTGCCAGCTGGATCCAATCTCACTTTGGTCTTGTTGATGCCAACAGAATCCCGTCCCATCTTTGACCTGTTGGTGCCAACCAGATCCAGTCCCACTTTGGTCTTGTTGATGCCAACTGAATCCCGTCCCACCTTGGACCTGTTGGTGCCAGCTGGATCCCATCCCACTTTGGACCTGGTGGGGCCACCGGTCTCCCGTCCTGCCTTCAGCCTGGTGACACCAGCTGCCTTGGGCTTGGTGCTCTGGATGATGCCAGCTGGATCCTGTTCTGCTTTGAGTCGGGTGATTCTGATGATACGGATGGGATCTCGCCCTGCTTTGGTTGAGGTGGCAGAGACTCGACCCTGTCCTGCAGATCGTGTGGTGGTGCTGGAGATACTGGTGGCAGGATCCTCTCCTGAGGATCGTGAGGTAGTGCTGGTGTCTGGATTCTGTTCTGTGGCTCTTGCAGTGGTTCTAGTGACACTCATAGTTGGATCCTGTCTTTGGGGATGCATGGGAATGACTGTGGTCAGAATTTGTCCTAGAGGACGTCGAGGAATGGTGCTGGCTGGACCCCATCCTGGGGGAGATGGGGAGGTCTCCACAGGTGACAAGTCTTCTGGCCCTGAAAGCAGTGAGGGGAAATTCAGGTTCCCTTCCCACAACCCTTCTACTTGTGGGAGTCCCCCATTTCCCCTCACCAGGGTGATTCTTGGGGACAGTGTCCAGCCCCAGAGGGACCCAAGAGGCTGGGACATCCCTTGGGGACATGTTTTTGGGAGCACTGGAAGAGACCCCAACAGAAAGAGGCATGCACCGTGGAGTCTATGTCCACAGAGGTGACAGGGTATAGGATACAGGACCACTGCCCTTTACCAGGTACACCTTACCTGTGCAGATGACAGCAGCATCTTCTCGGTGGTCACAGTTGTGCTTGCCCCAAGGCTCAGCTGGGCAGTGCCACAATGCAGCCTCTGTCCCGCTGCACTTCACGTCATCCAGCCATATGGAGCCAATGCCAGGGCCAAAGTGGGCACTGCGGAGGGCTTTGCGTGCAGCCCCGCAGCCCAGCTGCCTGCAGACCACAGCTGCATCCAGCAGGCCCCAGCCATCATCACAGACCGTGCCCCAGCTCCCAGCATGGAGCAGCTCCACACGCCCTGCACAGCGCCCAGGGCCTCCAGCCAGACGCAGCAGGAACGGGGCTGGGGAACAGCCGGCACCGCATTACCGCCAGCACCAACACAACTACTGTGTTTGGAGATGGAGGCTGCATCCCTGCATCTTCCCTGCTGCATCCTTGATGTATCTTCATCCTCTTTACATCTTCCCTCCAGCCCACCTCCATCCCTCCTCTATCCCCTCTCCACCCCCACTCCATCCTTTCTCCATCTCCATTCCATTCCCTCTCCGTGTCTTATCCATCTGCCTCCAACCCCTCCATCACATCTCTTCAACCACACCTCATCCCCACTCCAACCTCTCACCATCCCCTTCCATCCCTTCCCCATCCGCTCTCCTTTCACAATCTACCCCCAACCCCAACCCCATCCCATCTCCATCCCCACTCCATTCCCACTCCTTCCCTTCTCCTCCTACCTGTCTGCGACGTCCCTGCCATGGGCCAGCTGCTTGGTGTAGGCTGAGGGGAGCTGGTGCTGCGGGGCTGGACACTCACACATGGCACAGCAGAGGAGGGCACCAGCAATGACCTGGTGGGCAGCTGTTCAGGAGTGGACTGCATGGGGTCTACCCCAGTCAACTCATCTGGGGGAGGCAAGAGACACAGTGTGAGCCTGGTGGTGCACTGTGCACACCTGCCTTGTGCATGCACCTCACCCCATCAGTGCATGTGGTCACTGCTCTCTGCATGTGTTCACATAGCATATGCACTGCACCTTAATGCTGCTGCTTGCAGCGCACCCTGCTGCCACCCTGTTTGCAATTTAGCTGCACATGCACTGCCTCAGGAGCACTGCCTGAGTACGGAGACTTCATACAGGCTGCATAAACACTGCATTTCTCTACAATGCTGTATGCATGACAAGAGCACAGTGAGGTGTGTGCACTCCCTGCATGACTGTATAGAATTGCATGCATGCCAGGAGCATACTGCACTTCCCTATAGAAATGCATGCACTGCGTGCACCCTGGAAGCACACTGCACAGCTCTGCAGAGCTGCATGCATTGCAGGGAGCACACCAGGCTGCATGCACAATGCATGGGTGTGTACCTGCACAAATGACAGATGCATCCTCCCGGTGGTGGCAGTCGGTGATGCCCAATGGTGCAGCTGGGCACTGCAGCAACGCAGACTCGTTCCCCCAGCACCTCACATTGTCCATCCAGATGGGGCCAGTGCCCTCACCAAAAAACGCCCCACCAGGTGCAACTAATGCAGCTCCACAGCCCAGCTGCCTGCAGACCACGGCCGCGTCCGGCAGCCCCCAGCCATCATCACAGACTGTGCCCCAGCACCCAGTGTGCAGCAGCTCCACGCGCCCCGCGCAGCGCCCAGGGCCCCCAACCAGACGCAGTGGGTATGGGGCTGGGGAACAGAGCACCCACATCACTGCTGGCACCAACCCTGCTGCTGGGTTTGGCGATGAGACCTGTGTCCCAGCTGTCTCCCTGCTCTAACCTTCCCCATCCCTGCTTCTTTCCTGCAGTGTCCCATCTCCATCCCCACTGCATTTGCAGTCCTTCCCTCTGCACTTCTGTCCACCTATCTGCATCTATCCAACTCCATTCCCATCCCCATTTCTTCACTATTCCATCCCCTCTCCATGTCTCCATCCCAGATCCTTCCACTCTCCTTCCCTTCCCACCTCCATCCCCAATCTATCTCTAATCCATCTCTAATCCACCTCCAATCCATCCCCTCTTCATCTCTCTCCATCCCCACTCCATTCCTTCTCCATACTTGCTCCCACCTGGCTCCATCCCCAGTTCCTTCCCTGATACACCCTAGCTCCTGTCTTTCCCATCTCCATCCCTTCTCCATCTTCATCCATCTCTTTTGATTCCATGTCCATCCCATCTCACTCCCTGCTTGATCCCCACTCCTTCCCTCCCCCCCCTTCCTTTCTCCACTCCCTTCTCTATCTTTCTCCACCTCTTCTAATTCCAGCCCTTCTGCTTCCAGCTCTATCCCCTCTACATCTCAGCTCTACATCTCAGCTGTATCCCATCTTCATCCCTATTTCTTCCTGGCTCCATCCCTGCTCTTTCCATGCTCCTTTCCCACTCCATCTCTTTCCCCTTCCCTTTTTCATCCCATCCATCTCTTCCCCTTTCATGCTTCTTCCCAAATCCATCTCATCCCCATCCCATCCCCATCCCAGCTCCTCCTATTCTCCTTTTCTGTCCTATTAAACTACTTTATCACCATCCATCCCATCCCCCTCCACCCCCACTCCATTCCCTCTCCATCCCCACCACAACCATACCTGTGCATGCTGTCACCTGTGCAACCCATGTTCCAACGCATCCCTACAGTCCTGTGCATGCTCTGTGGGTGCATGCTGTGAAGCCTGAAACCCTGCACCCAATCCTAATGCATGCTGCACCATGCACTCTATAACCATGTGTGCCATATGGGTGCACACCATACGCAGCCCTGCACACCATACCTAGACACACTACACCTGTGCATCCCACACTGCACCCTGAACCCTATGCAGTGCTCATGACCCTGCAACACTCACCATCTGTTGGGGTGCTGCCAGCAGTGCCAGTGAGCTCCGTGGTTCCAGGCGACAGCAGGGGATGAGCTGTAGGGATGCACGCCATGATGAGGGGCTCCCTCTTTTCTCCCCTCCCTCACCCCCACGCCCGCTGCCCACCTGAGCACACAACGCTGGCATCCTCTTCATGGGCACAGACATGGCTGTGCCACCCCCGGTGCCGGCACTGGGCAAGGCGCTGCTCATCGCCACTGCACCGCACATGGTTGAGCCAAATGGGGCCGGAGCCTTCCCCAAACCAGGCCCCTGATGGGGCAGCCAACGCAGTCCCGCAGCCCAGCTGCCTGCAGACCACCGCCGCGTCCGGCAGTCCCCAGTCGTCGTCGCAGATCGTGCCCCAGCTCCCGGCATGCAGCAGCTCCACGCGCCCCGCACAGCGCCCAGGGCCCCCAGCCAGGCGCAGTGGGAATGAGACTGAAGAATGCCATTGGGTATGGGGCCACCAGCACCACCAGGACCCACCATTACCCACCGTGTGCTCTGGGACTTACTGGGACCCATTGGGAATCTGCTGGGACCATCTGGGATGTGCTGAACCGTCTGGGTTCCCATTGGGAACCGTTGGGACCCTCTGGGAATTTCTGGGACCCCCACATGCTCTGGGACCTACTGGGACCCACTGGGAACTGTTGGGACCCTCTGGAAATTTCTGGGACCCCCATATGCTCTGGGATCTGTTAAGCTGGCCAGCTGGGACCTACTAAGAACTGTTGGGTCCCACTGGCAACCCTGCATGCTCTGGGACCCAGGGACCTGCTGGGACCCACTGGGATCTGCCGGGACCACTGTGTGCTCTGGGACCCATTGGGACTTACTGGACTTGCTGGGATCCTGCATGCTCTGGGATCAACTGGGATGTGCTGGGAACTGATGGGACCCTCTGGGAATTCCTGGGACCTGTGCACACTCTGGGATCTGTTACGATCAGCTGGGACCTACTGGGAACTGCTGGGAATCCTGCATGCTTTGGGACCCACTGGAACCTGCTGGAACCCACTGGGAACTGCTGGGATCTGCTGGGACCAGTGTGTGCTCTGGGACCCCTTGGGACCTACTGAGACCTCCTGACACCTCCACATGCTCTGTGATCTGTGGAGACTGCCTGGGACCTACTGGGATGTGCTGGAACCCATTGGGACCCACTGGGAACTGCTAGGATCTTCTGGGACCTATTGGGAATGGCTGGTACTCTCCCATGCTCTGGGACCCACCAAGATTTAGCAGGACCCACAGGGAACCACTGGAAGCCACTGGGACCACTATGTGCTCTGGGACCCATTGGGACCTACTGGAACCTGGTGGGACTTGTAGGTGGGACCTACTGGGATGTTCTGAAACCCATTGAGAACCACTGGAACCACTGGGACTTGCTGGAATCTACTTGGACCACTGAGTTCTCTGGGGCATTCTGAGACCCACTGGGATCTATTGGGACTCACTGGGACCTGCTAAGACCTCTGCATGCTCAGGGACCCACTGGGACCTGCTGGGATCTATTGGAAACTGCTGGGATCTACTGGGATTTACTAAGACCCTCAGTTGCTGGGACTGCTGTGTACTATGGGATGCACTGGGATCATGTGCATACACCAGGGCCTATTGGGACCTAGTGGGACCCATTGGAGCCTATTGGGACCTGCTGGGACCTACTGGGATCTACTAGAACCCATTGGGATGCAGTGGCAGTGACAGGGATGCCATGGGGCAGGGACCCTCAACCCAGCCCTGTGCCAGTACCTGTGCCAGGGAAGGCCAGCAACCTCACTGGAGACGAGAGAGGAAGTGAGGGGAGGCTGCACCTGGTCAAGCCCCTCCAAGACCCCCAGGATGGGGCCATGGGGCCACAAGGGGCTTGGAGCCAGGGCTCCTACCCAAGGTGCAGGACCCAGCACCCAGAGCCCAGCAACCAGCAACCAGTGCCCCATTCCAGTGACCCATGACCACCGTCATCTCAGTGCCATTCCCAGTGACCAGGACTAGTTCCATTCCCAACGCCATTCCACACGCCTCATGACCAATTCCATTCCCAGTGCCCCACGACCAGTTCCATCTCTCAGTGCCATTCCCAGTACCCCATGACCAGTTCCATTCCCACTGTTCCATCCCCAGTGCCATTCCCAGTGCCCCATAATCAGTTCCATTCCCACTGTCCCATTCCCAGTTCCATTCCTAGTGCCACATGACCAGTTCCATTACCAGTGCTCCACAACCACTGTCCCATGACCAGTTCCATTCCCAGTGCCATTCCCAGTTCCCAAAGACCAGTTCCATTCCCAGTGCTTCATGACCTGTGCTCCATGACCAGTGTCCCATTCCCACTGCCCCATAACCAGTTCCCTTCCCAGTGTCCCAGTCCCAGCGTCACTCCCAGTGCTTCATGCCCACTGCCATACCCAGTGTCCCAATCCCAGTGTCATTCCCAGTGCCATTCCCGGTGTCCCACTGTCCCATTCCCACTGCCCAGTGACTCGTGACTAGTTCCTAGTAAGCATTTATCAGCGCCCCTTTCCCAGTCCCATTCTCAGTTCCTCATGACCAGTGCTCAATGCCCAGTACCCTTCCAGTGTTCAGCAATCACAGACCACTGCTATCTGCCCCATAAACAGTGCCCCATGCCCAATGCCCATTTCCCTTCCCAGTGTTCGGTTCCCTTCCCAGTGCCCAGCACACCACAGAATACCCAGTGCCCTGCCCAGTGCACCCACAGCCTTCCCAGTACCCACAGCCCAGTGTCTAGCACCCAGCACAGCTTGCAGTGCCCACTGCAATTCCCAGTGCCCACTCTGCTGCAGTGCCCACTGCACTGCCTGGTGTCCACTGCAGCAGTACCACAACACCCCATGCAGTGCCCGGTGCCCCATGCAGTGCTTCATGCAGAGCCCAGACCCCTGGTGTGCCCAGAATCTTTGCAGCACCCCTGTGCCCAACACAGTACAGTTTCCCTGCTGTGTGCAGAGTCCTTGCAGTAATCCTGCAGTGCACAGCCTCACTGTATTGCCCAGGGCAGTGTCCTCCCCTCTGCAGTGCCTGTCGCAGTGCCCAGTCCCTTACAATGCCCACACCATGCTCAGTCCCCATGCAGTGCCTGTGCAGTGTCCAGTGCAGTGTCCAGCTTGCCTGTAGTGTCCACATGGTGTCTGCTGTAGTGGGCAGCCCCATGCAGTGCCTGGTGCAGTGCCCACAAAACATAGAGAGCAGTGCCCGTGTAGTGCTCAGAGCAGTGCCCATGCTCTGCCCAATGCACACCTCTGCAGTTCCAATTGCAGTGCCCATGTAGTGCCAACTGCAGTAATCATGCAACGCTCAGTGCAGTGCCAACACAGTCCTCAGAGAAGCACCCACGCAGAGCTGATGGAATGCCCATACAATGTCTAATGCAGTGCCCATGCTGTGTCAAACACAGTGCCCAAAGCAATGCTCAGAACAGTGCCCATGCAATGCACAGTGCAGCACCCATACACTGCAGTGCCCATGCAGTGCTCAAATATTGTCCAGCACAGTGCCCATGTAGGGTCCACAGAGTGCCCATGAGGTGCCAAATGCAGTGTCCATGCAGTGCTGAGAGCAATTCTCATGCAGTGCCAAGCACAGTGCCTACACAGTGCCAGCGCAGTGCTGAGAGCAATGCCCATGCAGTGCCCATGCAGTGCACAGCACAGCACTCAGCTCCCCTTGCAGTTCCCACACCGTATACCCACGCTGTAGCCATGCCATCTCCATGCAGTGCCATGCAATGCCGTGCAGTGCCATGCAGCGTGTGCAGCGCAGCGCCGGGTGCTCACCCAGCAGCAGCAGCAGGGTCGGGGCCATGGCGTGTGCTGGTGCAGGATGGAGGAGGCCCGGATGGAGGCGGCGAGGCCAGGGATGACTCAGTGCAGCCGCTCGCTCCCCCCCTTGGCTAGGATGGAGGGGGCTGGAGATGGGGGGCACGGGATACCCCTGCGGTGGGACATCTGGTCTGTGTGTGGGGTCCTGCTGTGGGGTCTCCTGGGTGCTGCCCCCATTAATCAAGGCACTGAGGGGAGTCCTCGGAAGATGAGGGTTAATGCTGGGAGGGGGGGGGGGTTGGGTTAACACGTGCAGGCGCCCACGCACCCGCGTGGCACTAGCAGGGAGGGTTGGGGGGGGGATGGGGTTGCACGTGGCCATGGGGTCAGGGCTGCGTGTGAGCGGCTGCACATGTGCATGGGAGACACTGCAGGTCTGTGGGCGTGCACACACACTCACGTGGGCAGCCACTGTGTGTTGGGGGGAAAAGGGGGCACTAGGAGCATACTGGGGGACACTGGGAGATGTACTGGAGACAGCTGGAGCATACTGGGAGATGCAGGGAGCATTCTAGGGGACACCGAGGTATACTGGGGGCCATAATGGGGGAAACTGGAAGCATTTTGGGGGGACAGTGAGATCAGACTGGGGGCATTCCGGGGGACAGTGGGGATATACTGGGACTACACTGGGGTATTCAGGGGCCATACTAGGGGACACTGAGGACCTACTAGGGTATACTGGGGGCCATACTGGGGGACATTGGAGGCACTGCGTGGAAAATGGAATCAGACTGGTGGCATTCTGGAACTATAATGGGATATACAGGGGCCATACTGGGGTATGCTGGTACCATACTGGGGAAATACACGGGGACACTGGGCCATACTGGGGGACATGAGGTATACTGTGGGCATTCTGGATTATATTGATTTTTACTGGGAACATACTGGAGGGGGCCCAAGGGCCATATTAGGGCATGCTGCGGGCACACTGGAAGACATGGGGGGCACACTGGGGGCACTAGGGGCTATAGTGGTGTTTAATGGGGGCATTCTGAGGGACAGCGGGGTCAGACTGGGCTATACTGGGACCATACTGGGATGTGCTGGGGCCATACTGGGGTATAGCGGTAATACTGGGAACATGCTGAGGGTCACACGTGCCGTACTGGGCCGTACTGGGGACATACTGGGCCCACCGGGGTTGTACAGCCGACACCAGCCGCTCCCGTTCCCCCCTCCCGATGAGCAGCCACGGTCCGACCCACTCCCTTCCCCCTCCCAACCCGCCCACCATCCACTGCGCAAGCGCCTCCCGCTGCTTCCGCCCCTGCCGAGGCCCCGCCCCCCGTGGCGGCCAATGGGGTTCGCCCATTCCACCCTCACCGGAAGGAGGAAGTGTGGGCCGGGACGCTCCGTTTATTAATCTGGCCCGGGCGGAAACCGTGCTACATCTGTTCCGCCCCCCCAGCTCCCGCACCCCATTGCTCACCGGCCCGCAGTGCTGCTCGCCCCCACGCTGTTATGGCCATGAACTGACTAAGGGGTGGCCTATAAGTGGCAGTGGAGTCCTGTAGGGTGTTCTGGTGGCCATAACGTGGTTACGGGGTGGGTATGGTGGCCATGAGGTGCTGTGGTGGTCACAAGGTGGCCGAGAGGTGGATATGGCGTGGCCATGAGATGCTACAAGATTGGTGTGACAGCCACTGGGTGGCCATGGGGTGCTGTGGTAGCCATAAGGTGGCTATGGGATGGGTGTGGTGGCCATGAGACAGAAAAGAGATGGTCTCTGGGGGGCTGTAGGGTAGCGGCAATGACCATAAAATGTCCAGGAGGTGGCTACGGAGTCCAGTAGAGTGGTCATAAGGTAGCTATGGGGTGTTTGTGGTGGCCATGAGATGATAATGTGGAGCTGTGGGATGTTTGTGGTGGCCAACAGTTGGCTCTGGAGTCCTGCAGCGTGCCTGTGGTGGCCATAAGGTGGCCAGCAGGTGCTGTGGGATGTCTGTAGTGATCATACAGCATTCAACAGATGGTCATTGTGGGATGGCTGCAGTGGCCATAAGATGGCCAAGAGGCAGCTGTGGGATGGACAGGAGATGCTGTGAGATGTCTGCAGTGGCTACAAGGTGGCTGGCAGGGGGCCATGGGATGTTGTGGGGTGGCTGCGATGGCCCTAAGGCATCCGTAGGATCCTTAGAGGAGAGCATGGGGTAGCTATAGTGGTTGTAGCAGCTGTGGGGGGCTACGTGGAGGCCTCTGGATGGCCCTGGGGCAGCCACTGTGTCTCTGTAGAGGCCATGTGGCCACTGTGGGGGCCACAGGGTGGACATGGGGGCTGGTGGCATGGCTGTGGGGTCTGTGTTCCCTCTCAGAAGGTATGTACAAGCTGCGCCCCTGGCAGCACCTGCACCCCCTGCACAGCTGGCAGGTGGGGGGTCGGGGAGCCAGGGAGCAGCTGCACCACAGCAGGACCCTCACCAACTCCCCCCTGACGAGGCTCCCCACGTAGGACCAGGACTTTTGGGGGTGCCGGGGTGGGCATTGGGGACTGGTCACTGGAGCCCCGCAGCACCAGGACACTGCGAAGCCCTTCAGATGTCTGCAGCACACCCAGCCCTATGGCCGGTTCTGGGCATCCCTGCACCAGCAGCACCTCTGGGCCCGCTGGAAGCGACACCCCGGAGGGTAGAGGGGCTGGTTGGGCTCCCGATGGGGGCTGTAAGTGGACTGGGGGCACCTCCAGGGTCTGGAGCTGGATGTTGGGCACCTCGGTGGTCTGGAGATGGATGTTGGGCACCTCCACAGCTCGGAGCTGGACACTGGTCACCTCAGTGGTCTGGAGATGGACATCAGGCACCTCCACAGTCTCAAGATGAACGTCAGGTACCTCCATGGTCTCAAGGTCGACACTGGGCACCTCGGTGGCTTGGAGATGGACATTGGCCATATCAGTAGCTTGGAGGTGGATGCTGGGCACCTCTGAGGTCTCCAGATGGACACTGGTCACCTCTGTGGTTTGGAGCTGGACATTGGCCACATCTGTGGCTTGGAGATTGATGTTGGGCACTTCGGTGGACTCAACATGGAGATTGGTCACCTCTGTGTCTTGGAGATGAGTGTTGGCCACATCGTTGGCTGGGAGATGAACACTGGCCATCTCAGTGGCTTGGAGTTGGATGTTGGCCATCTCAGTGGCTTGGAGATGGACGCTGGGCACCTCCGTGGTCTCAAGATGGACACTGGGCACCTCCACAGTTTCAAGATGGACATCAGGTACATCCGTGTTCTCAAGATGGACATTTGTTACGTCCGTGTTTTGGAGCTGGATGTTGGGCACCTCAGTGGCCTGCAGCTGAACACTGGTCACCTCTGTGGTCTGGAGCTGCATGTTGGGCACCTCAGTGGCCTGGAGCTGGATGCTGGTCACCTCTGACGGTTGCGGCAAGGTTTGCAGCTGAACATTTGTCACTTCAGTGGCTTGCAGCTCAACATTGGTGACATCTGTGGACTGTGGTAGGGCTTGCAGCTGGACGTTTGTGACGTCCAAGGGATGCGGCAAGGCTTGGAGCTGGACATTGGTCACCTCACTGGCTTGCAGCTGGATGTTGGTGACCTCAGAGGGTTGTGACAGAGCTTGAAGATGGACATTTGTTACCTTGGCAGCCTGCAGCTCAATGTTGGTGACATCTGAGGGCTGTGGAAGAGCTTGCATCTGAACATTTGCTACCTCAGTAGCTTGCAACTGGATGTTGGTGACCTCAGAGGGTTGTGACAGAGCTTGGAGATGGACATTTGTCACCTCGGCAGCCTGCAGCTCAATGTTGGTGACATCTGAGGGCTGTGGAAGAGCTTGCATCTGAACATTTGCTACCTCAGTAGCTTGCATCTGGATGTTGGTGACATCTGTGGGTTGTGGCAGGGCTTGCAGCTGGACATTCGTCACCTCAGTGGCTTGGAGCTGGATGTTGGTGACATCTGTGGGTTGTGGCAGGGCTTGCAGCTGGACATTCGTCACCTCAGTAGCTTGGAGCGGAATGCTGGTGACATCTGTAGATTGTGGCAGCGCCTGTAACTGGACATTTGTCACCTCATTGGCCTGCAGCCTGACAGCCGCCCCCTCCACTGCTGCCTGTCCCTGCGGGATGCCTGCTGGGTGCAGGGGCTGCTCAGGGAGGCCCTGCAGAATGAGGATACCGGTCCCCGTCCCCTGTGGGACAGCCGTGACTGCCTGTAGCCGCAATGTGGGCAGCGTGGTCCCCGTGCTGGGCACAAGCAGAAGGCTCTGCCCAGGGGTTGGGGACTCCCCTTGGTGTTTGGGGGGTAACTGGGAAGCTGTGGGGAACAGGATGAGCTTCTGTGGGGCCGGTGGAGGGCTGGGGATGAGCTGGAGACCCTGCGGCGTCTGCAGCAGCAGGAAGGTGTGGGCATCAGGAGCCGTCACCTCCAGGCTGAGGGCAGCCTGCAGGATGGGGCCGTCGTGCTGCAGTGTCGGGACAGGGCGAGGGGACCCTTTGGGGCCAGCTGCATGGGTGCGGAGGTGCCGCTGGAGGTAGGAGGCCATGACAAAGGCTTTGGGGCAGAGGGGACACTGGTGGGGCCGGGCGCTGGAGTGGGTGCGTTGGTGGAGCTGGAGGTTGGAGGAATGGGTGAAGGTTTTGCCGCAGTGGGAACAGGCATAGGGCCGCTCGCCTGTGTGGGTGCGCTGGTGTTGGCGGAGGTTGGAGGTCTGGGTGAAGGCCTTGCCGCAGATGGGGCAGGCGTGAGGCCGCTCACCTGTGTGCAGCTGCCTGTGGCGGCGGAGGCAGGAGGTGTTCTTGAAGGCCTTGGGGCAGTCGGGACAGGCGTAGGGCCGCTCGCCAGTATGCAGCCGCAGGTGGTACTGGTAGTGCGAGGACCACTTGAAGGTGAGGCCGCACTCGGCGCACTTGAAGGCACGCAGCCCCGTGTGCACCCGCTGGTGGATGGCAAGCAGTGAGGAGCGCTTGAAGGCCTTGGGGCACTCGGAGCACTTGTAGGGCCGTTCGCCTGTGTGGTCCCGCATGTGGTAACGCAACCCTGAGGAGCCCTTGAAGGCTTTGCCACACTCGGTGCATTGGTAGGGACGCTCCGACGGTACCGAGGTCGGGGTTGGGGCTGCTGGAGGGGGATGCGGTGTTTCTGCCGAGTGACCCCGCTGGTGGCCCAGCAGCCCAGCCAGCTGCCCAAAGCTCCTGTGGCACTGCGAGCACTTGTAGGGCCGTTCAGCACCATGGCTGTGCCTGTGCCGTGCCAACCCTGAGCTGTTCTTGAAGGTCTTGCCACAGGTGGGGCAGCGATGGGTGGCTGTTGTGGTGATGTCCCCTGGTGTTGCTGGCTGTGGGTGGCTGCGTTGGTGGCCCAGCAACTGCTCCTGGCTGGGGAAAGCCAGGTGGCACTCAGCGCACTTCCACAGCATCTCCACCGCCTCCAGGAGCAGTGGCGGTGGGGACAGCTGGGATGGGGACAACGGGGATGGCAACAACGGGGATGCGGCATGGCTCTGCAGATGCTTCTGCAAGCAGGCATCTGAGACGAAGGCTTTGGGGCAAGTCGGGCACTTGTGGGACCGGGTGCTGGAGTGGGTTCGCTGATGGAGGAGGAGGTTGGAAGAGTGAGTGAAGGTCTTGGAGCAATGGGAACAGGCGTAGGGCCGCTCTCCTGTGTGGGTGCGCTGGTGTTGACGGAGGTTGGTGGACTGGGTGAAGGCCTTGCCGCAGGCGGAACAGACGTAGGGCCGCTCGCCTGTGTGGATGTGGCGGTGGCGGCGGAGGCTGGAGGAGTTCTTGAAGGCTTTGGGGCAGGAGGTGCACTTGTAGGGCCGCTCACCCGTATGCTGCCGCAGGTGGTACTGGTAGTGCGAGGACCACTTGAAGGCCAGCCCGCACAGTGCACACTTGAAGGCACGCAGCCCTGTGTGCACGCTCTGGTGGATCTGCAGCAGCGACGAGCGCTTGAAGGCTTTGGGACACTCGGAGCATTTGTAGGGCCGCTCGCCCGTGTGGCTGCGCTGGTGGTAGAGCAGCGCCGAGGAGCCCTTGAAAGCTTTGGGGCACTCGGAGCACTTGTAGGGTCGTTCACCCGTGTGGGTGCGCTGGTGGTGGACGAGGCGTGAGGACCATCTGAAGGCTTTGCCACACTCCAAGCACTCGTAAGGGTGTTCCCCGGTGTTTGGCGCTGCTCGGCCCGCAGCCAGCTCCAGCTGCTGAGCACCCACCATAGCTGCTGCCCTGCGGGGACACAGGGTATAACGGAGACACACACATACATGAGACAAGGGCTGACCCCAGGGACACAACCCAGGAAAGAACCCCAGGGTAATGGGGATGCAGACAAGGACTGGTCCTGATAGAAGGACAGAGCCCAGCAGATGAAGACAAGATACAGGAAAGGACACAGGAGGATGGGCACAAGACCCAGGAGATGGGGACTGACCCCAAGAGATGGAGGTCAATGGAGTGGGGAAAGAATCCAGGGGAGGACCCCAAAGTAATGGGGCTGGTGACAGAACTCAAGGAAAGACTCCCCAGGAGGAAAGGGATGGGATAAAGGCCTGGCCCAAATAGAAAGATGGAGGCCAGGGGATACGGACAGGAGGCACAACTGGACACAGGAAGGAGCCCAGGGGACAGCGTGGAGTGGGCATAACCATGAGCCTGGTAGGAAACAGAGAACGAAGCCCAGGCGAGGGGAACAGGACAGAGGAGATGGGAACAAGATGCAGGAAAGGACCCCAAGATAATGGGGTTGGGGACAAGGTCAGTCCTGATAGAACGATGGAGCCCAAGCGACGGGGACAGGATCTGTTTGAGCTACAGGGACTGCCTCTGGGATATGGGAACAAGGTCATGGATAAGGGACTGGGGACAGAACCCCAAAGTAATGGAAATGGAGACAGAGCACGGGCATGAGGACCAACACATGGAGGCTGGATGAGACCTGGCCCCGACACAGGGAGGATGGGAATGGGGCAAGGCCTGACCTCGGCAGAAGGATGGAACCCAGCGGGCAGTGACAGGGCCCAGCTGGGCCACAGGGATTGGCGCTGGGGAAAGAGCCCGGGGGGAGGAGGTCAGGGCCCGGGCCTGAACGATGGATGGAGCGCAGAAGACGGCGCCAGGGCCCAGGGGGCGCGACCAGCCGCGTGGGCGTGGTCTAAGAGGGCGTGGCCTAAAGAGGGCGTGGCCACAGCTCCGCGCAGACCCCGGCCCTCCCCACTCACGCACGGCCGCGCGCCCTTGAACGCCCCGCCCCCTCCGGCGCAGGCTCCACCGCCGCGGCCCGGCCCGCCCCGGCCGCCCCCCGCCGCGCTCCGCCGCTCACCTGGGCGGGGAGGGCCCGCGCCTCCACGGCCCGGCCCGATCCGGCCCGGCCCCACCCGCACGGGCCCGACCCCGCTCCGGCCCTCCCGGCGGCCCCGACGCCCGCGCCCGCCCCCGGCGGCGGCGCGCACGGCAACGGCCGCGCCGAGCGCACGGCCCCGGCCCCGCCCCCTCCGCGCAACACCATTGGGCGCGGCCGCCGCGCGGAGCCGCCTGGGAAATAGAGTCCGCCCCGCCGCCATCTTGGAGTCTGAAAGAAAGGGGACGCCATCGCGCCGTGACGTCATCACGCCGCGACGCTGGCGCCATGACAGGCATGCGTGGGGCTGTGTGTATACGTAAGCGTGTATGCATGTATGCGAATGTGCGTGGCCGTATTTGTGCGCGTAGTTGTTTGTGTGTGCAGCTGTTAATGCAGGTGTGTGCGTGTGTATTTTAGGACTCCACCGCGCAGGCGCCGGTCTGAGCCGAACTACACCTCCCATCACCCCCCGCGCCCCGCCCCGTCTCCAGCTTCCGGCCGCCGGCAGTGACGTCACCCACTCGGATTTTTCCCCGCGAAAACGGCAGCAGAGAGATGCAGCGGCGGATCACGTGAGCAGCGCGGCACCGGGACCCCCCCCACCTCCCCCCACTCCCCACCTCCCCCCACTCCCCATCTCCCCCCGTAGTGACGCCCTTCTTCTCTTTCTTCTCCTCTCCCTCCCCACAGGTCTTTCTTCGCCCCCCCCAGGGCTGCAGATGGCGCCGTCCCGTGAGTGGGGCGGGGATGGGCGGGGGGGGATTGGGAAGATTTTTTTACTGGGGGGGGAATCACGGGTGCTGCTCCCACCCCCCTTCGTCCCACACCCCGGCTCTGAGCTTCCTCCCCTCGCAGAGCACATGTTCAGAAGCTGCAGCGGAGCCCCCCCAAAGAGACCCCCCAGGAACGTCGGGACCCCGATGGGAGCGCGGTGAGAGCCCCCAGTGCCTGCCCAGTTTCTCCCGGTGCCTATCAGTCCAGCCCCAGTTCTGCTCTGTCACCCCAGTATCTCCTAGTGCTCCCCCTGCTCCTTCCCAGTCCTCTTTCAGTCCCGCCCTGTGTCTCCCAGTCCTGTCCCATTGCTCTTCCAGTGCCTTCCAGTCCAGTTGTGGTCCTGCTCTGTCAGTGCCCCCCAGTCCTGCATCAACCCCATTCCAGTACCTCCCAGTACTATGCCAGTGGTCCCTGTCCCCTCCCAGCCCTATCACTGTCCCTTCTTAATGCTCCCTATTTGCCCACAGGATCCCACATCCTCTGGTGGCAGCTCTGCCCCTGTACCCCCCATGTCCCCTCGTGCCCCCTGCTGTTCCCCCTCCCCACAGCAGTCGGGGGATAGGGATGGAGACAGTGATGGGGACAGGGACAGTGCCCCCCCTGCATCCAAGCGCTGCCGTCAGTCACCCAGAGACCAGGACAAGGGACTTCCCCCTCCCCACAAAGCTCCAGCCCCCAACAGGTGGGTGACAGTGTTGGTGGGATGACACATGGGTCCCTGGTGGTGCCACCACTGTGTCCCCACATCACTGTCCCCGCAGCCATATACCAGTGGAGCCGTCCCAGTATGACCCCAGCAGGAGTGGGTACCACCCAGTGCAGGATGCGTGCTGGGGGCATGGGCACAGGTGGGGGCTTTGGAAGGGAACTCCAAGTGGGAATGGTGGAGGATATGGGTGGGTCATGGGGGTGAGGGGTTTCGTAACAAGTCAGGATGTGGGATGATGGGAGATGTGGGATCATGGGGGATTATGAGGATACTGGGGTGCAACATAGGGTTGTTCGTAACAGGGTGGGACCTAGGGTAGCAAATGAGCTTATTGGGGAACGTGGGGTGGGTCAGGGGGGGAGATGGAAGATGTGGGGTCATTGTGGGTGCTGGGAGCCTTGGGAGGATCATAGGGGATGTTAGGGTCACAGGGTGTGATGTGTGGTGGTGGGGAACATTGGGTCGTGGAAGGCCATTCGCATGGGACTTGGGTGATGGGATGACAGGGGACCTTGGGATGGGATATGGGGTCATGGGGTTATTGATGGGGGGACATTGAAGTGGGACATGAAGTCACAGGGAGTGATGAAGGACTCAGGTGACGTTGGGGTGATAGGGTCGCCGGGTGGGACGTGCAGTGATGGGGGATATTGGATCATGGGTGACGTGGGGGATATTGGAGTAGGATGTGGGCTTACGGGGGGGGTGAAGGGGGACATTGGAGTGGTTCATGATTGGGGGTGATGGAGGACATAGTGGGGACGTTGGGATCATGATGGGTGATGGGAGGACAGAGTGTGGGGGTTGGGGTGACTCCAGAGGTGTCGCAACCCCTCCCCTTCAGTGTCCCCTACCTGGCGGTGGCTCGTACCTTTGAGCGCATCGAGGAAGCCTCATCCCGGTAAGACCCCACTTTTTTTAATCTGGGAAGGCACAGCCCCATCTTTCCCCAAACCCCAACACTGACCCTATACCCAAAAAGCCAATGATTTTGCGTTTGTGAGATGATCTCATTTCCCCCTTCTATCCCAAAGTCTGATAATTTTGGTTTGCGGCAGCGACCCCAGCTCCCCCCTACCCCAAACCCCAATAATCTTGACATGGGAGATACGATCTTACCTCTGCACTACCCCAAACCCCAATGATTTTGGGTTGGAGAATGACCTCATCTGCACCTAATCCTAACATTGACTCCCTCACCCCAATGATTTTAGATGGGGATGATGACCCCATTTCACCTCCACTCCAAACCCCAGTAAGTTTAGGCTGGGGGACATGACACCTTCTCCAGTTCTACCACAAACTACAAAGGGCTTGGGATTTATGGAGACAACCTCGTTTCCCCTCCATCCCTAACCCTTACCCCAAACCCCAGTGATTTGAGCTTTGGTGTCCCTACCCTCAATTTCCCCTCTAGGCTGAAGATCATTGAGATCCTCACCAACTTCCTGCGCTCTGTGGTGGCCCTGTCACCCTCCGAGCTGCTTCCCTGCCTTCTTTTGTGCCTCAACCGTCCTGGAGCCACCTCTGAGGGGCTGGAGCTGGGCATCGGCGAGACCCTGCTCACCCGTGCCCTCGCCCAGGCCACCGGTAGGATCCAGGGGTTGGGATGCCCCATGGCATTGACAATGGCGTAGGTGCTGATGATGGCACTGACATCCCCACAGGCCGCCAGCTGGCTCAGATCCGCAGTGAAGCACAGGACAAAGGGGATTTGGGGTTGGTGGCCGAAAGCAGCCGCTGCACCCAACGCACAGTGGTGCCACCAGCCCCGCTGAGTGCCAGCGGTGTCCTTGGCAAGCTGCGGGAGATGGCCGCCATGTCAGGCAATGCAGTGAGTTTGGGGACCATGCGGGTGGCACTTTGTCACCTTCCTGTTGTGCTGATGTTGCTGTGTTTTTTGCAGTCTGCTAGCAAGAAGATTGACATCATCAAGGGGCTGTTTGTTGCCTGCCGGCACTCGGAGGCACGATATCTCGTCCGGTGAGGACAAGAAGGGACCATTGGGGTGCTGTGGGATCACATGATACTGACATAGTGACGCTGATGTCCCTTGCTGTCCCCTAATGCAGATCGCTCAGTGGGAAGCTACGCATTGGGCTGGCCGAGCAGTCAGTGCTCACTGCGCTGGCACATGCCGCTGCTCTCACCCCACCAGGGCAAGGTGAGAGCTGTGAGGTCACTGGGGACAGTGTGGGGATACTGGGGTGGTGATGCTGGGGCTGTGTCACATGGCAGAGTGGCCGCTGGCTGTGGTGGATGCTGGACAGAGCATGGCACCTGATGCACGCAGAACTTGGTTGGAGGAGCAGAGCCGCATCCTCAAGCAGACTTTCTGGTGAGGCCTGTCCCCTATGGGTTCCTGTAGGTTCCCCTTGGGTCCCCCGGGTCCTCTTTGTTTATTTGGGGTACCTGCTCTTTGGATAGGCTGTTCTCCTGAGATTCTCATCCTCTTGTGTTACCTGGAGTCCCTTTTGATTCTTTTGAGGTCCCTGTTCCTTGGGATCCTCCTTTTGTCCCCCAACATCCTTTTGTCCATCTCAGTTGCCTTTATATCCCTCTTTCTCAACATGCTTCCCCTTGATCCTTGTTTCTTAAGTGTCTCTGTTTGCCCTCTTGGTGTCCACATTGGTACCCTTTAATTTTATAGAGTCCCTGCTCCTTGTGGGTGCTACTGGGTGATGTTACCAACCCATTGAACCCCCTGGGTCTGATCACCACCCCATGAGCTCATTAGAGCCAAGTCATCTCCTCTCTTGGCAACATGTTAACAGAGGGGGATGCTAGGTCTGTCCCCTTGTCCCCACAGCGAGCTGCCAGACTATGCTGCCATTGTCCCAGTGCTGCTGGAGCATGGCCTGGAGCAGCTCCCCAAGCACTGTGGCATCACTCCAGGTACCATGGGGGCCAGAGGTGGGTGGTCCCAACCCCATCCTGTTCCCTCACTGTGTCCCTTTTTGTCCCCAGGCGTTCCCTTGAAGCCCATGCTGGCTCAACCTGCCCGCTGCGTCAGTGAGCTGCTGAAGCGCTTTGAGGAGGCTGCATTCACCTGCGAGTACAAATATGATGGAGAACGAACCCAGGTACAGTTCTGGGGGTGTCACAGGGTACCCTTCACCCTTTGTCACCCGTCTGTCACTTCTGTGTCCACCCCTAGATCCATGTCCTGGATAGCGGGGCTGTCTTCATCTACAGCCGCAACCAGGAGAACACAACAGCCAAGTACCCTGACCTCGTTGAGCGCATCCCCAAGGCAAGCTGGGGTCTTCGGGGGGAGTGTGAGGGTACCAAGGAAAACATGGGGTTCTTGGGGACAGTGGTGATGCAGTGCTGAGCTCTGGGATTGCCTCAAAGATGCTGAAGCCTGGCGTGTGCTCGTGCATCCTGGATGCAGAAGCGGTGGCTTGGGACAAGGTCACTAAGCAGCTGCAGCCCTTCCAGGTGCTGATGACAAGGAAGAGAAAGGTGAGGGCAGGCTTGGGAACACGAGGGGCAGCAGCAAGATGGTGCTGTGACACCCTCTTTGTGTTCCATGCCTCTGCAGGATGTGGATGCTGCTGCCATTAAGGTGCAAGTGTGCGTCTATGCCTTTGATCTGCTATACCTCAATGGGGAGGTGAGTGTATGTCCCCAGGGGGGTGACGCCTCGTCCCCAAGGGGATGACATTGTTCTTCCCACAGCCACTGGTGCGGGAGCCCTTGGCCACGCGGCGTCGGTTGTTGCGACAGTCATTCAAGGAAGTGGAGGGCGAATTCCTCTTTGCCACCTCGATGGACACCCGCAGTGCTGATGAGGTCTCTGATTTCCTGGACAAAGCCATCAAGGGTGAGTAATGCCACCAAGGGAGTGCCACCCCTACGTTCCCTTCCTTGAGTGACCACAGGTTGTCCTCAGCCTCTTGTGAGGGCCTCATGGTGAAGACACTGGAGGTGGAGGCCACCTATGAGATTGCTAAGCGGTCACACAAGTGGCTGAAGGTGAGCACTGGAAGGCCTATTTGTTATCTCTCTGTCCTTCTGTGGCTTTCCCCTTGTTTCCAATCCCCTGCCTATCTCTCTACAGCTGAAGAAGGACTACCTCGATGGCCTTGGGGACACGCTGGATCTCGTTGTCATAGGTGCCTACCTGGGCAAGGGCAAGCGTGCAGGCATCTATGGGGGCTTCCTCCTAGCCTGCTATGACGAGGAAAGTGAGGAGTACCAAAGCATCTGCAAGGTGACCACAAGGGCCACCTGTGGGCTTGGAGACGCCATTGGTGATCATCCCAAAGCACCTATGGGCTTGGGGACATTGCTGGGGGCTGTCCCTAACCATTGTTCCTCTACAGATAGGTACTGGTTTCACTGAGGAGAGTTTGGAGAAACACTACAACTTCCTCAAGGTGAAGTGCTGGAGCTGTAGCACCCTGGAGGCAGCTTGGGCTGTTTGGTGACAATTTGGGCCATTTGTTGATGTTGTCCCTTCCAGGAACACGTGTTGACTCAACCACGTCCCTATTACCGCTGGGACAATGCAGTGGCCCCTGACCGTTGGCTGGCAGCCGTGCAGGTCTGGGAGGTGAAATGTGGGGACCTGTCTATTTCCCCTGTCTACAGGGCAGCTGTGGGGCTGGTGAGTGTGACAGTGGGACATGGGGAAGGGACATGTGTCCTTGGTGGCACTTTGACGCTGTGTTTTGTCAAGGTGGATGAGGACAAGGGCATCTCGCTGCGCTTCCCGCGGTTCCTGCGTGTGCGCGGGGACAAGAAACCCGAAGAGGCCACCAGCAGCACACAGGTGACAGGTTGGAGGCAGGGATGGGACACAAAGGAGGGAGGGGGTCCTACATCTTCTCTTTCCTCTGCAGGTGGCCGAGCTCTACAAGAAGCAGCAGCAGATCCAGAACCAGCAGCAGGCAGAGAAAGGGGACGAGGAGTTCTATTGACATCGCCCTACATACCCTACATACAAGGGTATGGGTAATGCTGCCTGGGGACTTGCCCTATATAATATGTCCCCATGTGTTCCCCTGTGGCATGGGGACTTCAGGACATTGTCACCCTCCAACCCTTCAGTCCCCTCACCCCACATCCAGTTTCCCCCTACAGCCCAGTGTCCCCAGGCCATTGCCACCTTCCAACCCTTGTTTACCCTTGCCTCGTATCCAGGGTACCCATGTGTCCCCCTATGGCATGGGGACTTCAGGATGTGATAACCCTCCATCCATTGTATTCCTCCACCCCATATCCAGTGTCACTTCTGCCCCATTGCTGGAACTCTCCATGTGTCCACTCCCCAATAAACTATCTGCCCATTGCTCCAGCTTCTTTAGACCTGGAATGGAGCTGTGGTCATGCAATGGGACTCTAGCAGGATACAGGAACATTGGGAGTTTGGGGAGGGTTTGGGTGGGATTGTAACTGTGCCTGCCCCATATATCCCAGCTAGGATTGTGCTCCTCCATGAGCTGCACTGTGGGACTGAGCACCTCTGTGGGATGACGGCACTATGCACCTCAATAGGACGTTGGGTACTCTCTGGGACTCTTCACCTCAATAGAGTGCTCTGTAGGGCTGTGCAACCCTATGGGATGATGGATGACATTATGTACCTCCGTGGGGTGTTGGGATGCCCACGGGCTGGCCTGGAAAAGCAGAGGGAGAACTGGAGGAAGTGGGAGCAAGAAATGTCTCCTTTCCAGGAAGCGGTGTGGTTTCTCTTTTGCCTGAGCTGCAGAGCAGCAGGTCCCACGCAACGTTTTGTTTTCAACATTTGTTGATTTATGCCTTGGTCCGGATGTGCTGGTTTTTTGTTTTTGTTTTTTTTTTTCTTTAAAAGAGAGCACTTCTCCTCTAGCGTCTGATTTCTGAGAAAGGGGCGGGGAATGGGAGTAAGTAATGTGATTAAAAAAAAAAAGTAACAAAATTGATAACAGTGACATATCACAAACAGAGGGGGGCAATGGCTCCCTCTCAGTGCAAGAGGCAGAGGGGAAATGGTGCTAGCACAGAGCCTGGCCCTAACTGCCCCTACCACGACCCTAGCAATAGACTTAAGTAACCGTGCTCTAACCCTTAGCCCTAACTGCTAGCCCTAAGCTATGTTCCTTCCTCTAACCCTTCCTTAACCTTAATTTTAACTTCCACTTCCCCTGGAGCTGCTCTCCACTAGCATTTATGCTGACCTAAGACATCCAAGCAGAGCCAGGAGACCAGAAACAGGGAAGAACACAGTGATAGTGTGGTGTCACTGTGTCTTGCCATGATAAAGCTGCTGTCAGTTTTTCTCCATGCACTGAGCCTTTCTGAAAGAATACACACAACCTGTGAGGGTCAGAATATATTTATTGCTTATCACATGCAATCATGAGTTAGTTAGCAAGCTGTAGAGCACTGTTAGCTCCATAGCAAAGCCAACGAGGTGTCTCATGGGATCCATCATCACCATCCACCTCCTTCCAAGACCACTGGAGAAGCCTTGCTGCATCCTTGCTGAATATCTCCCAGGGGATCCTTTTGGCAGCAGTGGTGCCCATCTTCCCTTCACATGTCTGTAGGGTAGGGTGGTGGATCTATTTCTTCAACCTGGACTTTCAGGATGGCTTTTTCATTGTTGGACATCTTGGCTTGGACACGAATGTTCCTCTTAGAGACCTCCAGGGTTTCATGTTCTGACTCAAGGGTGGCTCGCTGGAAGAGCGAGGAGCCACAGTATGGCTTACTCTTCATCATTTTGGAGAAGACATCACTGAGGATTCCCAGGTGGTTCTCCTCTGAGAAGATCTCCAAGGCAAACTCAATTTTGTAAAGGATGTAGTCATAGGGGTTGGAGAATGTGATGGCCAAAAAGAAAGTGTCAGCCTTGCAGACCACAATCCCCACGCTCCCTCGCAGGCTGTAGGGAGTTTTTGCAAAGGCACATATTCCTTTGGAGTCTGGGCCAATTTCAAAGGGCAGGGGATCCACATTCTGGCCACTGAAGCAATAGCTCCTGTAGAAGGAAGGTTGGTGAGAAAGGGCAGCTGGAGCCCAGCGGATGGAGACACAAGGGGAACTCATTTGCAGAGGTGCTGAGTGGGACTCAGAATTCTCTAGAGAGCAGGCTTTCACCAGTGCAAGCATTGCCAATGCCAAGCATCCCCGAGCCACAATTACCACTCCCAGAATCATTAGTGCACAGCATCACGAGAGCAGGCATGACAGAAAGGGAGCTCATTGTCCCTGCCAAGCCTCTTTACCCAGCCTTGTTGGACCCAAGCTGTGTCCTCTGCGCATCTTGTAGTTTGGCTGATGGGAATCTCATGCAGTCCTACAAGGAGAAGTGCAGGTGCAGGTGCAGCAGCTGGGGAGGAGTAACTCCAGCACTGGGTTATGCTGGGGGCACCCAGCTGGAAGCAGTGGCAGAAAAGGACATGATCTGCAATGTGCCCTTGATGCCAATAGGGCTGAGGGTGCTGTGGGCTGCATCAGGCAAAGCACTGCCCAAAGAGGGAAGAGATCCTGCCCTTCTGCTTAGCACAGCTGAGGTCACACCTGAAGTGCTGTGTCCAGTTCTTGCCCCCTGTAGAAGGGAGACAATATAAAGAGAGCTATAGAGGTCCACTGAGATGGTGAAGGGATAGGAGAATCTGCCCCCATTGGGAGAGCTGGGACCGCTGATGCAGAAGAAGAGGTGGCTCAAGGGATTCTTAGCAATAGTATAGGTATCTGATGGGGGGGGGAGGGCGGAAACAGCAAAAGAGAAAGGAGCCGTAATGCTTGCACGGTTTGAATGTGTGCTCATGACTGGCTGCCCCAAGCTGGAAGGGACAAGAACTCACTCTGATGACAGCAGGGAATCTGAGCAAAGCCTCCAAGGGAATAAGGAAAGAATAAAGACAAGGAAAGAATTGGATAAGGATGGGGACAAGGAAGGAATTTCTTGAAGTGTGTGCAGCAGTGCAGTGCAAACAGAGTTAGGTACACCACAAGATGGAGGAACATGCTGGAAATTGCTCCAGCACTTGGCACTGAGCCTCTCTCCATTGTCTTTGGAGATGTCCCTCATAGGCAGGGTGGCAGAAAGCAGCAGGGGACAGAGGGGTACCCACCTGAACTCCTTCAGTGTCACTGTCTTGGTCCTGTTGATGATCTCCAGGCCCACACTACGGCACACATCAATGTTCTTCATCAGGCTCTCCACACCCTTACCCTGTTGCCCAGGGTTACAGTAGTCATTGTAAGGCTTCTCTTCTTCCTTCTTCTCCTTTAGTGGCATCTTCCCCACTCAGTCCTGGGAGCAACGCTGTGGAGCTGCGAAAGTGTTGCAGTGGTGCAAAAACAGCAAAAAAGGGGTGGATAAGGCCAACTCCACCTATGGGAGCTCAGAGCAGGGCATGCAGCGCTCCTCCCCCACATCCTGCAGGGCTTTGCACGTCTCACAAAGGACAGCTCTTGCACAAGGACGTCCTGGGGGGAGCATCACGGAGGGCTATGTTCTGCTCCATCCCCAGCTCTGGTTCTGGAAGGATCCAGCTGGAAAATGTCCAGAATTCCACGGCTGAGGATTTGCTGATGCTCAGACAGCAGAGGGCTTCCCCCACATCCTGCCTATGAAGGAGGAAGTCAAGGTATCTGCTAAATACAAATTTAGGTATTCTGTCCTTGGTGTTAATCCTGATACTGTTTGTCCCAGTGTTATTTGTTCCATGGGTCACATTCAATTTATAAGTTTACACATAGAGGTTAACAAGCAGCACTGAATTCAACTGCTCCATGATTTAATGAGCAACACTGTTTATTTGCAATACAACGGTTTGTTTGCAATGCAGTGCAGCACAAAACTTATTCAGAGTGATACATTGCAGTTTATGGCAGCATTCAGGCTGGGAAGGAGTGGGCTTCAAAGCTTTGGAAGGATGAACAAAAATTGCTGAATTAGGCATCACTCACATTCAAAATCCTGCCAGGAAAATCGTAAAATGATTGAGCATGCATCATAGAATGTGGTGGGGATCTCTGCTGGTCATTGAATGAAGACTAGAAGTCTACCTCACTGTGAACTTCCAACCTTTTAAGTGGGCTGGGGACAGCCTGACCCAGCTCATATTGGTGTTGTGTTGGGCTGAAGCATCTGTTTCACAGTGCTATCCTCAACAACAGAGCATCTACTCTTCTTTCTTATCGTTTGTCAGTGAGTTTGTGCAACTCTGCATTCTGTTCTTGAGCTTACCTGTATACAAGCAGCTCCCCTTTTTTTTATATCCTAGGCAAATCCTTTTGCCTACAATGCACCACTGTCCATTAACACCTTCCTGAATTACTTTCTAGATTCCACCTGGTGGTTCATATGTCTCTTGGCATAATCATCTAGGTCTTTTTCTCCTGGGACAACACGAGAAAGAACACTGCATGCCTATGCAGGTTATCCCTATAAGGATAATCAGTACAACTACTGCTACAAACAGTTGCTTTACCGAGGTAAAGTTAGGGAGCCAGTGATTGAGCTTATGCTAGATATCCAGGAATCCAAATGAAGTGTCATCTAAGGAGACCGTGTACAACTTTAACCTGTCTCCAAATTGTCTGTAAATCAGCTTCTACCTGTTGATTTTGATCCATACAAGCACAGCAACTTTGGTTAATTATCATACAGACCCCTCCTGCCTTTGCTGTGTGAAGGTCTAGGGACATTCTATTCTGCAAGACCTCAAAGAAGATCTCTGTCTGCAGACCCTGGATGGCATCTAAAGTCAGGTTCTTAATTCTTTCCATTGTGGCTGATACATTCACTATTGCTTTTTCCAGTTTGCTGACCCCCTAGGTCCTGAACCCTTAACACATGCTGGGGCTGCTCCCCATCAAGCAGAGGAGATGAAATTTCAAGCTGTTGTGTATGAATGATGAACATCTTGTTGCACAGCTTTCTGCAGGCTGGATGCAACTGCTATTTCAACTAGCCAAGTGACAAAGTCTCCCTTGCACATCATACTGCGTGAACAACTTCAAGAATGGAAGTCCTCCTCCTTCAGGTATCCAATCCTACCATCACAAGGAAAACAAACAATCTTGGATCCCAAAATCCTCCTGTTCCTGCTATGCAAGGGCTCAGGACTCCTGTAGGCCTCTTCTGCAAAGCAGTCAAAACAGGTAGATTCTGTGAGTGGGAAAAAAACCTTACCTTTGCAAATGGTGCACCTTAAAGCCTAGGGGGGGAATTCAGCAATTAAATTTTTCTGGGGAGAGAAAATATAGAGAAAGTCTTCCCTGTGCTCCTGCATGTCTCTGGGGATATGGTGACTCCAGAGGAAACTGCTCGATAATGAACACCTTCTGAGGTCACAAGAGAGGAGAGACACATGAGCATCTTTTCTGCCCAGCCAGCCTTGCAGAGCATGAGTGGAGAAGAATCCTGCCGCAGTGCAAGGATATCTTGCAAAACAAACATGCAGTGCAGAGCTTCTTGCACTCCGAAATCTCTGCTGTGGGTTTGCTCTGATTTTGCTCCCGGCACCTGCTGAAACTTGGGATGCTGAATGTAGGAACAAAAAACTAAGCTTTTCACATGTGTATCCGTGCCAACCGAGCTTGGTGTCTAACAGCTGCCCTGAGCTCCTGAACAAACCACCTGGAAAAAGGAGTATAGCCAATGTGTAGCACGATTAAGGAAGGGTGATGGCAGTATATACCAAACATGCCTGCCCCCAGAAGCAAGAAGTGGGCTGGAATTAGTGCTAAAAAAAAAAAAAAAAAAAACGAAAAAATACCCTCCTCAAAATGATCCAACGGATGGGACACCTCCCCTGTGAGGACAGGCTGAGAGAGCAGGGGATGTTCAGCCTAGAGAAGAGAATGCTCTGTGGAGACTTGAGAGTGGCCTTTCAGTATTTAATGGGGTTGTAAGAAAGAAGGGTACAGACAATTAGCTGGGTCAGTTGTGATAGGACAAGGAGAAATGTTTTCAAACTAAAAGAGGGGAGATTTAGATTGGATATAACAAAAAAGGGTGGTGAGGCACTAGAACAAGTTACCCAGAGAGGTGGTAGATGCCCAATCCTTGGATACATATAAGGTCAGGCTGGAGAAGGCTCTGAGCAACCTGATCTAGCTGTAGATTTCCTTGTTCATTGCAGGGGAGTTAGACTACATCACCTTTAAGAGTCCAACTCAACTGATTCTTTGACTCCACATTTCCCCATCTTCCATGCATCATTTTTTTATTTTAAGAAAACAGGGTCAGACTCCAAGGAAAAAAAAAAAATTGGGACAAGTCAGTTCATTTATTCTCCTCCTTCCCTTTCAACTGCAAGTGATTTTCAGTAAACATGTAGGAGCCACTTTACTGCTCTCCTGACCTTTGCATCTGATTAATCAGTGGAATCAGAAATTACTGAAAGGAATACATGCACACAGACACACAGAACATTCCTACACATGTTATTCCTTAGGAAACAAGTTCAAAAATCTGCTTGCAGGAAGAGCAGAAGAGAAAATGAGGCATGGAAAGAGATTTTTTTTTTTTTTTTTTTTTAATTTGTTGAACCTCTTCCTGCATTTGGGACACACGTAGCATTTCTTCCATGAGTGCAATCTCCTGTGAGTGGGGAACTCTTGCTCCTGCACAAAGCCCTTCTTACAGACTTGAGGTATCTGTAAGGCTTCTTGCCATGTGGACTCAATGCAGCTTTGTCAGCTTGGAGCTGTGGTTGAAGCACTTGCTGCAATACAGGCATGGATAGGACTTCTCCTCAGTGTCAATGTTCTCATAAGGTTCTTCTCACAGAATCGCTGAATCTTGGGGGTTGGAAGGGACCTCCAGAGATCATCGAGTCCAACCCCCCTGCCAAAGCAGGTTCCCTACACCAGGTTGCACAAGTAGGCGTCCAGGCGGGTCGTGAATATCTCCAGAGAAGGAGACTCCACCACCTCCCTGGGCAGCCTGTTCTTGCGCACATTGGTGCGGAACTTCCTATGCTCCAGTTTTCGGCCATTTCCCCTTGTCCTGTCTCCGCACACTGCTGAAAACAGTCTGGCCTCGCCACTCTGCCCCCCACACCTTAGATATTTATAGACCTGGATCAGGTCCCCTCTCAGTCTTCTCTTCTCAAGGCTAAACAGACCCAGATCACTCAGCCTGTCCTCACAGGGGAGATGCTCCAGGCCCTTCACCATCTTTGTGGCTCTCCGCTGGACTCTTTCCAAGAGATCCCTGTCTTTTTTGTACCCAGGAGCCCAGAACTGGACACAGTACTCCAGATGAGGCCTTACCAGGGCAGAGTAGAGGGGGAGGATCACCTCCCTCGACCTGCTGGCCACGCTCTTTTTAATGCACTCCAGAATGCCATTGGCCTTTTTGGCCACAAGGGCACACTGCTGGCTCATGGCCGACCTGTCGTCCACCAGGACACCCAGGTCCCTCTCCGCAGAGCTCCTCTCCAGCAGCTCATCCCCCATCCTGTACCGGTGCATGCAATTATTCCTCCCCAGATGCAAGACTCTGCACTTGCTTTTGTTAAACCTCATCTGGTTACTTACTGCCCAGCTCTCCAGCTGTCCAGGTCTCACTGAATGGCAGCTCAGCCTTCAGGTGTGTCAGCCAATCCTCCCAACTTCATATCATCAGCAAACTTGCTGAGGGTGGCCACTATCCCCTCATCAGGATCACTGATGAAGATGTTGAACAAGACCGGACACTGAGCACTGAGGAACACCGCTGGTTACAGGCCTCCAACCAGACTCTGCACCGCTAATGACGACCCTCTGTGCTCTGCCAGTCAGCCAGTTCTCAACCCACCTCACTGTCCACCCATCTATCTCACACTTCCTCAGCTTTGTTATAAGGATATCATGGGAGACAGTATCAAATGCCTTGCTGAAATCAAGGTAGACTACATCCACTGCTCTTCCCCCCATCCACCCAGCCAGAGACAACATCATAGAAGGCTACCAGGTTGGTCAAGCACGACCTCCCCCTGGTGAGTCCATGCGGACTACTCCTGATAACCTCCTTTTCTTCCAGTTGTCTGGAGATGGCATCCCTTTCCAGGGACAGAGGTGAGGCTGACTGTCCTGTAATTACCTGGATCTTCCTTCTTGCCCTTTTTGAAGACCAGAGTGACACTGGCTATCCTCCAGTCTTCAGGCACCTCCCCCATTCTCCAAGACCTCTCAAAGATGACAGAGAGCGGTTCAGCAATCACCTCTGCCAGCTCCCTCAGCACCCGTGGATGCATCCCATCAGGTCCAATGGATTTATGAACATTGGTGTTGCCTAGGCACTCTCGGACCAACTCTTCCCTGACTAAAGGGAAGTCTTCCATTCCCCAGACCCTCTTACTAACCTCCAGGGTCTGGGATTCCCAAGGGAGAGCTTTTTCACTGAAGACAGAAGCAAAGAAGGCATTCAGCATCTCTGCCTTCTCAGCATCTCCTGTTACCAGAACACCCCCCTCACTTAGTAGGGGAGGCACATTCTCCCTAGTCTTCCTTTTACTGTTAACATACTTAAAAAAGCCTTTTTAATTATCCTTTATCACTTCTGACAGATTCAATTCCAGGCGGGCTTTAGCCTTTGTCGCATCCCTGCAGGCCCTGACAACATTTCTATATTCTTCCCAAGTGGTCAGACCCTTTTTCCACATTTCCTGGACCTTCTTTCCTTTGAGTTTGTGCATGAGCTCCTTGCTCATCCACACAGGTCTCCTGCCACCCTTTCCTGATTTCTTGCTCACAGGGATGCACTGATCCTGAGCTTGGAAGAAGAGCTGTTTAAATGCCGACCAGCTCTCACAGGCCCCCTGACCTTCTAACACCCTACCCACAGGATAGCTCCAAGTAGATTCCAGAAAGTTGGCTCTCTTAAAGTCCAGGGTAGCAATCCTACTTTTTGCAATGCTTCTTCTACTCAAGATCTCGAACTCCACCATCTCGTGGTCACTACCCAAGCTGCCCTCGACCTTTACTTCCTTGACAAGCCCTTCCTTATTAGTGAGAATAAGGTCCAGCAACACCCCTCCCCTCATTAGTTTCTCCACCCCCTGCATCAGAAAGTTGTCTTCAGCACACTGCAGGAACTGTCTGGACCGCGCGTGCCTGGCCATGTTGCTTATCCAGCAAATATCTGGATAATTGAAGTCCCCCATAAGCACCAGCCCCTGGGATTGTGACACTGCTTCCAGTTGCATGTGGAAAGCTTCATCAACCTCCTCTTCCTGATCAGTGTCAACAGTGTCAGCCATACCAGTCCACCCCTTGATTCTCACCCACTGCTACACCACTCTCCCCCAGGTGGAGTTCAATACATTCTAGCTGCTCTCTCACATAAAGAGCATCTCCACCACCCCGCCTTGCCAGCCGATCTTTCCTAAAAAGCACACAGCCCTCCATGACAACATTCCACTCATGCGAACTGTCCCACCACGTCTCTGTGACTGCAATGAGATTGTGGCCGTGCAACCACATGCAGATCTCCAACTCTTCCTGTTTATTTCCCATATTGCGCGCAATAGTGTACAGACACTTTAGGGAAGCAGCATCCCCCTGCCACTCTCCATCCCTTCGAACTCCACCCTCATCACCCATCTCCGTTTTGAGCCTCGAACTACCCGCTCAACCCCAGTGGTCCTCATTTTGTCCCCTTCCCCCTTCTTACCTAGTTTAAACACCTTTCAATGAGTCCCGCCAGTTCCTGGGCTAGGATCCTTTTACCCATTGCAGACAGGTGAGTTCCATCTGCAGCCGTCATGCCAGGAGCCGAGTAAATTGCCCCATGGTCAAAAAAAGCAAAATTCTTGTGCCTGCACCAACCTCTAAGCCATTTATTTAAGAGAAGGGTTTTTTTGATCCTCTCAGCGTCCTTCCCTGCCACTGAAGGGATAGAAGAGAAAACCACCTGCACGCCCACTCCATCAAGTATCCTCCCCAGTCCCCTGAAGTCATTTTTGATAGCCTTCAGGCTTCTCTCAGCAGCAGCATCACTGCCAGCCTGAACTACCAGTAAGGGATAGTAATCAGATGGGCGAATAAGCCCAGGAATCTTTCTAGAGATATCCCTGACCTGTGCCCTAAGGGAGGCAGCACACTTCCCTACAGGTGAGGTCAGGCCAGCAAATTGGGCCCTCAGTTCCTTTTAGAAGGGAGTCACCTATGACTCTCACCCTCCTTTCTTTACTGGAGGAGGCAGTCTTCAAGTGTGGAGCCGACTGCCTCTCCTTAGAAAAACTTGGAGGCTGTCCCTCCACCTCATTCTCAGCCACCTCACCCTCCAGTTTCAGGGCTTCAAACCTATTACTTAGAGGCACCTGAGGAACCAAGGAAGGTCAGGATGGGTGCTGCCTGCTTCACTGAGGTGGGACCTGCTGCCATTCCTCCTCTCTTCTCAAGTTGGCTCCCTCAGTTTGACCACAGCAAGGGAGAGGGTCCACTACAGGCTGCGGGTTGCAATCTCTGCTTCTTTCTCGCAGAGAGTCACACCACCAGTCTATCTCCCTCTCACACTCTCTAATGGTTCTTAACTCTCTACCTCCTTCCTAAGCTCCACCACCAGGCTGAGCAGCTCATCCACCTGCTCGAACCTCACCCAGGTGGTGTCCTTCCCATCCTCCCCTGGCAGCAGCAGGCTCAGGCAAACGCAGGCAGCACATTCATAGAGGGTGTGTTCCAAACTGGTACCCACTGGTGTGTGATGAGCTCCCAGCTCTGGATGTACTTCTTCCAGCAGTCAAGGTGCTCATAGGGGCTCTCTCCTGTGTTGGTTTACTGGGGTCTACTAAAAGTTAAGCTCCAGCTGAAGCTCTTCCTGCATTCCCTACAGAGTGACTTCTTGGTCCAGTTGAGGTTTAATCTGGATCCTCATCTGTTGACCCACAGCAGATGAGTTTCTCTGGGGTGAGAACAACAATTCCCTGCACACAAACCTGGCAGAAACGTGCTTCTGATCCACCTGTCATAATCACTGGATTCTGCTTTGTATTCCACTTGCCTTGTCTGCAGCAGAAAGAGAGCAATATAGGCAATTCCCCCAGAAGGAAGGAGGAACGTGATTTGCTTTGGCTCCAGAGCTCAAGCAATTTATGAAGGTTCATCATCATGCAAATCCACAAGCAGGTAACCAGGTTGGGGTTCTAGCTGAAGACCTTCCCACATTTGTGGCACTTGCAGCCTCTATCTCTTGTGTGGACGTGCTGGTAGGTAAGGAGGCTGGAACTGCTTCTGAAGCTTCTCACAAACTCAGGGCACTTCTATCACCTGTCTACTCTGTGGATGTGCCTCTGAGAGTCGAGTTCACAACTGCTTCTAAAGCCTTCCCCACACTCAGAGTACTTGCAGTGTCTCTATCCTGTGTGGATGTGCTGCTGACCTCTGAGGTTGGAATTGCTTTTGAAGCTCTTCCCACACTCAGGGCACTTGTAGGGTCTTTCTCCCCTGTGTGGATGCGCTGGTGGCGGATGAGGTGGGAACTGCTTTTGAAGTTCTTTGAACACTCAGGACATTTAAAGGCTCTCTCTCCTGTGTGGATGAGCTGGTGGTAGATAAGGTGGGAACTGCTTTTAAAGCTCTTTGGACACTGTGGACACTTAAAAGGTCTCTCTCCTGTGTGGATGCGATGGTGGATTGTCAGGTTGGAACTCCTTCTGAAGCTCTTCCCACACTCGGGGCACTTATAGGGTCTCTCTCCTGTGTGGATGCTCTGGTGGTAGATGAGGTCAGAACTGCTTTTGAAGCTCTCCTCACACTCTGGGCATTTAAAGGGTCTCTCTCCCGTGTGGATGTGCTGGTGGCGGATGAGGTTGGAACTGCTTTTGAAGCTCTTTCCACACACAGGGCATTTGAACGGTCTTTCTCCCGTGTGGATGCGCTGGTGGCTCTTCAAATGAGAACTGCTTTTGTAGCCTTTCCCACAAATGGGGCACTTGTAGGGTCTGTCTCCTGTGTGGATGCGCTGGTGGATCATGAGGTGGGAGCACTGCCGGAAGCTCTTCTCACACACAGGGCACTTGTAAGGTTTGTCTCCTGTATGGATGCGCTGGTGGATTGCAAGGTCAGAACTGCTTCTGAAGATCTTTGGACACTCAGAACACTTAAAAGCTCTCTCCCCTGTGTGGATGCGCTGGTGGTAGATGAGGTCAGAATGGCTTTTGAAGCTCTTGCCACACTCAGGACACTTAAAGGGTCTCTCTCCTGTGTGGATGTGCTGGTGGGAAAGGAGTTTAGAACTGCTTTTGAAGCTCTTCCCACACTGTTGACACTTGTAGGGTCTGTCTTCTGAGTGCGTGCACTGGTGGGAATGAAGTTCTGAGCTGAAGTTCTTCTCACCCTCGGGGCAATTGTCAGGTTTCTCTGATGTGTGGATGCACTGGTGGATATGCAAGTTGCAACTTTTTATGTAGCTCTTGTCACACTCGAGGCATTTAAAGGGTCTGTCTCCTGCACGGATGTGCTGCTGGTTAACACAGTCAGAATAAGTTTGAAAGCTTTTCTCACTCCCATCACAAGGATTTTGACTTTTCTTATGGCACACTTCCTTGCTCACTGAGTCTTTATGTTGCTTCTGACCTGTGCTGCAGTCTAGGTGTTTCTTCACTTTCTTTCCTGGACAGTTTCCCAGTGGCTTCTTGACATGCTCTCCTTGCTCCACACCCCCTTGGACATCCTTCCTGGTTTTTCCAACAGAGACACTAACACACTGCCTCTGGGCCATGCCACTGTTCTGCAGATCTTCCTTCATAGCTGTGATACCATCACATGCTGGAGGACAGAAGAAATTCAGAAATACGACATGGTGCCAAAATATTTCCCAGTCAGAGACAGCTTTTCCCAGCCTCCTCCTTTCACCCCCCTCTCACCTGTGCTGAGCTCTTCTGCCATGTCCTCCAAGGTGTGCACATCTGGGATTCAGGGGTCATCCCTTCCTTCCAGCAGGGAGATCACCACAGGCTTGGGGGCTGGAAGTGACGCTTAAATGACATAAACAGAGCAGATGAGAGAACGTTCATGACTCTGGCAGAGCTGCTCATCCAACAACGTTATTATGTGTCCCTCTCAACTCTGAAACCACATTTTGAGCCTGAATGACACCTGGTCAACACATATGAGCTTCCTTTGGAGCCCAGCACGCCTTTCACGTCTCTGAAAATTATGCAGGGACACTTTCTTTAAAATTCTCTTAAGGATATTCTGTTTATTTTTTTCCAAAATGCTCAATGCCCTAGGGTTCAAAAAGGTTTATGGAAATTGACACCGAAAGGCACAAAATGCTACAAACAGTAACCTAGGAGTCGACTGGTTGCTGGAGTTGGTGGCAACACGCAATCACAGAATCATAGAATTGCTCAGGTTGGAAAAGACCTTAAAGATCATTAAGTCCAACCACAACCTAACCATATTACCCAAACTCTAACCCTCTGCTAAATCATGTCCCTGAGCACCGCATCCAGATGGTCTGTAAACACATCCAGGGATGGTGACTCAACCATCTCCCTGGGGACCCATTCCAGTGCTTAGCAACCCTTTCTGTAAAGTAGTTTTTCCTGATATCCAACCTAAACTTACCCGGGCGCAACTTAAAGCCATTTCCTCCCATCCTGTCACCAGTGAGAAGAGACCAGCCCTGCTCTGCTGCAATCACCTCTCAGATATTGAAAGAGAGCAATAAGGTCTCCCCTCAACCTCCTTTTCCCCAGACTAAACAGCTCCAGTTCCTTCAGTCTCTCCTCATAGGCCATATTTTCCAAGCCCTTCACAAGCCTTGCTGCCCTTCTTTGGATCTGCTCCAGCACCCGTGTCCTTTCTGTAATCAGGTGCCCAAAACTGAACGCAGCACTCGAGGTGAGGCCTCACCAGTGCAGAGTACAGGGGCAGGATGACTTCCCTGGTCCTGCTCACCACACCATTCCTGATAGAAGACAGGATACCACTGGCCTTCTTGACCACCTGGACACACTGCTGGCTCACATTCAGCCAACTGTCCACCAGTACACCAAGGTCCCTTTCCATCAGGCAGCTTTCCAGCCACTCCTCCCCAAGCCCGTAGCGTTGCCTGGGGTTGTTGTGACGAAAATGCAGGACCTGACACTCGACCCTGTTGAAACTCATGCAGTTTACCTTTGCCCATTGATTTAGTCTATCCAGGTCCCTCTGTAGTGCCTTTCTCGGGCAAATCAACAACCCCTCCCACTTGGTGTCATCTACAAACTTACTGAGGGTGCACTCAATCTCCTCATCAAGATCGTTAATAAAGATGTTAAATAGAAGCAGCTCCAGTACTGAGCCCTGGGGGACACTGCTCATGACTGGCTGCCAACTGGATTTAACTCCATGACCACAACTCTTTGGGCCCGGCATCCAGCCAGTGTTTCACCCAGCTGAACATACGCCCATCCAAACCATGGACAGCCAGCTTCTGATAAACTGGATATCTATATCTGCAAAGAAACCTCCCAAAGTGGAGTAATGAAGCATGAGGAAAGCATCAGTTTTACCCATTCCTAGAGTCCTGACTTATAATCAGCCTCCAGGCATTATCTTTAGTCTACCTGTAGCATTCCAGAAATGAGAAATCAGTGATGGAGCTCCCACTAGGGCTTCAGAAACTGAGCATGCAAATCAGGCAGCAAAGAGTTAAGATTACTAATGTAAAAGAAACAAAATACCGTGGCCCAAATTGCCAAAGCAAATTTCTGGCTCCTGGGTGAGAAATTCATGTCACCCACTTGTTCCACAATTATAAATACTCATCAGAAATATTTGGGGTTTTGATGTTTTAAACACATGACCTGGTGCCAGCTTCAAACACTGATGCTAAAAAGGCAGTGTACTTTGCACAGTCCCTGCCCACCTTGAATCAAAAACTACTGCAGTACTCCAGTACCACATTTCTGCTGTGGCGTGGGGTGGAATTGCTGAAGTTACAGCAATACAGCTGGAAAGAAAAACTTTCTGTCACCCACAACTTTTTCTGCCATACACACTGAGCACCGTAATCAAAGGAACTTCTACCAAACAGGTGGGGCAAGCAGCAGCAGCCACTTACTGTCCAGCTTAGCTACGTTTAAAGAAACTGTACAGTGCTATATTATGTATGGGAAAAGGGACTGCTATCTTCAGCCCGAGCAGTTAAGCAAGTTGACACAATATATAAAGGACAGCCTGTGCCAACTATAGGATCTTTTAATTTACTGGGAGCAAGACTAATGAGGACTGCTCCCCCAGAATCCGCTGCAGAAAATCCATTAGGAAATGGTATGCTCATCTAACAGGACTTGCAGGAAAGTATGTTGATAATGGAAGAGCAATCTGAACGCACCCCCTTCCGTCCCTCCCCACACTCAGGCACACAGAGCACAACAACAACAACACGGTCCTTAGGGTTTCACCCACTGAAAAGAGAGAATATTGCATGACAGAACAGTTGAACCAGCCTGTGATGATCAAATCAGCATCTACTGATTCTGATACTTATGATTTTAACTACACTTTGCAGCCTAGTTACTGATTCACAGTGGTGCTAAGCATAAAAATGATGGTATAATGGATTTATCTTCTTTTTAATGGTGTCACCCAAGAAGCAAGATAAGGGTGACCTGATTTGCAAATCCCCTTGATTAGAGCTAGGTGACTCGACATTCTCAATCCAAACACAATCAACAATTTTAATGAGATTCTCCGTACAACAATTACCTTAAAAGTATTGTCAGTTTTGTAATGTAATGTCTTAAAATTACATTTATCTAAGCTGTGCAGCTAAAGTATTCAACTTTATAAGAAATCCAAATAAAGAGTGTGATACTTAACAACTTTATAAGGGGAAAATAAAGAAAAAGAGAGAGGGGACACCATGGGACAGAGAAAAAGACAAAAAAAAAGAAAAAAGAGCACTGGTCTGGGTTCCAGTGTTGGTGCAGCCAATAGGGCTGTAAGAGAACTTGACCAGAAGCTACAAACAGAAGCCTCAAAGTCCCTCCCCTAGTTCCTCTCAGACATCCTTTTACGCCTGTTAAATTTACGAAGACTGCAGTCAACAACTCTCCTTGAACAGGGGAGTTTTGGCCAGAGCAAGGCTGTACTATGCACAGTGAGCTCCCTTTTCCTTTGTCTACCACCATGGAATAACCTGTTCTGAATCCACTGCCAAGGTGATTCTCTATTCTTTCACAGCATCTAAATTACCCAAAAAGGGTGATGGTCATAATCCAGTTAAAGAAAGATCTGCTTGCCCATCCCAAGGATCAGGGCTTGCCAAATGCTCCAAAAGAAGGGATTTCCAGGTAGAGATCCCTCCCTTGGGGCAGCTAGCCCTTCAGTGAGGTTAGGTGAATTGCTTCCTCCTGTGCTCCCAGTGCTGTCTGTGTTCCTTCCCCAGGTGCTCAGTCGCTGCCTCAGGCCGTGACTGAGCAATTGCCATTCAACATAGGAAAGAGGTGTAGGGTAACACACAAGAGGAAGGTGGCAAATAGCTGAGAGGAAGATTTGAGGGTTGCTCTTTTTTATTTTTCTATTTCTGAATAGTTTTAGAGACACTGAAGGGAGTAGGCCTGGTAGACGGGAATGAAGAAATTGTACTTCTCCAGAGCACAGAAATCAGAAAGATGATAATAATAAGAGAGAAGAGAGTAAGAGACAGAGGAATAAGGAGAGGAAGACAGAAAGATGGATAGTATCCGCTCTTGGATCCAGCACTGGAGTTTTCAGTCTTGGTCCACAGATGGAAGGTTGCGTATATTTCCATTATGACTGAATAAATTATGGATAACACTTTCTCCTCCATTTAACTCTATTCTACAGCTCAGCTTCCATCTAGTACCTATGAACTCTGTCCTGCTCCAAATCCATTCCAACTTTTAAAATTGACTGTATCCTGGTACAAAGAGGGGTTGAATGAAATGCAAATGGCATTGACTTTGATTATCAATTACAGGAGAAATGAAAGTAGGACAGGGCTGACCCTTCAAATGGAAATGGGTAGCTAACCATTCCTGTAGGTAAACTCTTATCAGTAGAATCAGAGGCAATGTGATCCTACATTTCTTGTCCACAAAAGAAATCTATATACACAGAAGGCATGCTAGCCCTGTGAGTGAACTACTCACACTCATCTCTATGAAGACCTGAAATAAATATCTCACTCTTGTGTGCACACCAACATAGAGAACCTGGATTTTGGAACAGCAGTAGCACCATTATCAGAGACTGGGACATCAGCATGAACAAGCATTTCTGTCTGTTATCCTAGAAGAAAACAGAATCATCTTGGTGGGGAATTCCAAACAAGGGACCATTGGCAAGCTGAAGTTCCCCATGAGAACAAAGGCTAGTGATTGCACAACTCCCACCAGCTGCTCATAGAATGCCTCATCTGTCTCTTCATCCTGGTCTGGCATTCTGTAATGGACCCCCACCAGGATGTCCACCTTGTTGGTCTTCACCCTGATCCTGACCCACAGGGACTCAACCTTACCATCCCCAGCCCCGAGCTCTGTGATATCAAACTGTTCTCTAACAGAGCGCCATGCCACCACACCTCCTTTTTTACCTACACCTTTTGAAGAATTTATTCAGCCATCCATTGCAGCACTCCAGTTGTAACAGTCACCATGTCACCATGTTTCAGTAGTGACAACTAACTCATAGTCTGCATGCCACATGATGACTTCCAGCTCCTGCTTCTTGGCCACACTGTGTGCACTGGTGCAGACGCATTTCAGCTGAGCCACTGGCCTCACCTCCAGCCCTAACACTGTTCCCCAGACTCATCTCTAGCACACCTCATTCCATTCCCTTCCCCCTTCATACTTAGTTTAAAGCTCTCTCAACAAGCCCTGCCAGCTCCTGGGCTGCGATCCTTTTCTCCCTTTGAGACAGATGGGACCCATCTGCAGCCATCAGACCAGATGCAGACTAAACCAGTGAACTGCCTCACTGTCAAAAAAAACACAACAAAGTTGCAGCAGTGGTACCAGCCTCTCAGCCATGTATTTATCACAAGCATTTTTCCGGTCCTCTCAGTATCCTTCACTGCCACTGAAGACACAGAGAACACCATCTGTACTCCCACTCCATCCACTAATCACCCGAACACACAGCAGTCCCTTAGGACAGCCCTAAGGCTTCAGTCAGCAAGTTCATCACCACCAGCCTGAGCTTCAGTAAAGGATAATAGCAGGAAGGATGAACCAGGCCGGAAAGTTTTCTGCTGATGTCTGTGACCTGGGCCCTGGGGAGGCAGCACACTTCCCTACTAGGAATGCATAGGGTTAATGCCTCCCCCCCTTGCCTTTTTCTTTTTTAAGTTATTACTATTTTTTAAATAAAGAATTACTCTGCTGTTGGAGATTCGTTGGCAGGTTTTTATTTTGCTTTGCTGGGTTTTGTACCCATTCCACAATGGTTAACGCTGATTGCCAATTCTCTTCTGTCCAGCTCTGCCCCTCCGTGGCCAGGCAGGCCTTCCTGCCTTTTAATAGCTCTGACAGAGGGGAGCAGTCAAAGCCGGGCTGAACCCAGGAAGCCATGACCATCTGCGAGAGATTTCAGAGCCAGCGGATTAAGCGTCCTTTCTTGCCTGAGGAAACCCACACTCAGTGCTGCTGTACCACTCACACAAAGCGTTCTCACTGCCAGTTCCAACGCCTCACCCCACCAGGCGGGCCGCGAGGAAGGTCAACCTTCTAACGCTCTGCGCGAGCACCCGGCTGCTCAACCGGGCTTTCCGTTCGGGAGCCCGTGCCGGCTGGGCCCGGCTGTCCCGCACATCCCGCGTGACCTCACTCAAGACGGCCGGCGATGGAACACGCCAGGTGCGGAATTAACCCCGCCAGCTCCGCTAAGGAGCGCAGCACCGCAGCTCAGCACCGCGCACGGCTCCTCCCGGTGCGCGGCCCGGCTCCCCGGCCCGAGCCGCGGCCTCGCACGCTCTGCCGGGCCCTTGCTCGCCCGGCCTCACCCGCTCTGCTGGGAAGAGCCGGCCGCCGTTCTCCCGGCTCGGTACCGACGCCCGGGGCTACTGGTTAGATCCAGCCCCACGCCGCCGGAAGCCGCCCAGGCGTGAGGGAGAGCACTTCCGGTCAGGGCTGCCCCGTCCGCCGGAAGCCGCGCAGACGCGGGGGAGAGCACTTCCGGTCGAGCTGTCCGGCTGCGGTGCGGTTGCGCGGGCGCTCCCGTGGGTGGCGGTGGGGGAGGAGATGCCGTGCACTGCTGTGAGGAACATTCCTGTTCCAGTCGGCTCGCTCGGCCACCTTTATCCCTGAAGGAGGCAGCGGGGAGTCTTCAGCTTTCTTTATCACGGAACTGTAGGGGTTGGAAGGGACCTGCAGAGATCATCGAGTCCAGACCCCCCTGCAAAGCAGGCCCCCTACAGCAGGCTGCACAGAGGGCGTGCAGGCGGGTCTGGAGTATCTCCAGAGAAGGAAAATCCACAGCCGCCCTGGGCAGCCTGCTACAGAGCTCCGTCACCTCACCATAAAGAAGTTCCTTCGCATATTGGTGCAGAACTTCCTGCGCTCCGGTTTGTGGCTGTTTCCCCCTGTCCTGTCTCCACCGACCACAAGGTTGGCCATGTGCCTTTGCCTCCCACATTTAAGATGCTTACAAAAAGTAATCAGATCACCTCTCGGTCTTCTTTTCTCAAGGCTGAACAGACCCAGGTGAGTTAGAAGAGGACAAGATAAGGTTAACTGTTGTATAGGAATGCAGGTAAGCAGGATGTGAGGCCAGATAAGAAAAGATATTGTAAACTTGAAGAAACACAAGGAATGGTCAGGATGGGATTACTTCTGTTGAAGACAATGAGCCTTCATCCCATGACCACCAGAAGACCCCCACTGCCCAGGGTGCACGTGCCGGAGGGAGGGACCATATGCTGATGGGTTCTCGGAAATGTAATGAATATGTATACAAATTCCAGGAAAAACACTGATTATATATTAGTTTGGCCTGTATCTGTACCACACTTTTGTCTTCCAGTGTGCAAGTTCGGAGGAGCTATCCTCCTTGCACCCAGCTTGGTGCCAAATGCTGAATAAAAACAGACCTGCTTTATAACCAACTCTGGGTTATAGAGTTTGATTCCATAAAGCACAGGTAACCCAGCCTTTCCTCACAGGGGAGATGCTCCAGGCCCTTTATCATCTTTGTGGCCTTCTGCTGGACTCTCTAGGAGATCCCTGTCTGTTTTGTACTGGGGAGCCCAGAACTGGGTGCAGTGCTCCAGGTAAAGGCTGAGCAGAGCAGAGCAGAGGGGGAGGATCACCTCCCTCGGCCTGCTGGCCACGCTCCTTTTAATGCACCCCCGGATCCCACTGGCCTTCTTGGCCACCAGGGCTCACTCCTGGCTCATGGCCAATGTGTTGTCCACCAGAACACCAGGTCCTTCTCTGCAGAGCTCTTCTCCAGCAGGTCATTCCCCAACCTGTACTGATACGTATGGTTATTCCTTCCCAGGTACAAGACTCTACACTTGGTTTTGTTAAACCTCATCTGGTTTCTTGCTGCTCAGCTCTCCAGTCTGTCCAGGTCTTGCTGAATGGTAGCACAGCCTTCTGGTGTGTTTATGTGAATAAAGGGACAGTCCTGTGGGGCACAATGCTCTGGGGGCTGTCTGCCACTGTTATCCCTGTACCCCAACGCTACTCAGACTTTCCCCATTTCCTTTTGGCTGAGGTTCTTGGGGTTCACACTCATCTCAATGCGCCCATCTGCCACCCCCTGGTAGGTACCCCCCTTTCTTTCTTTTGTTCATACATGCTTGATAATATGGTTTCAGTGTTTGTTGTTTTGCCCAACTGGAGCTACCATTGTATCCCATAAAGTCCCTCCCTCTTTGTTCTGCCCAGCAAACAGGATTTCCAAGCAGCTGCTCAGCTAGCATCTCCTGCCATATATCTGCAACATAATTCTGTTTAACCAGTTTTTCTTCTCAGATCTTATTTTGCAAGGACATTTTATCCTTTCTTCTTTTATCGCAGTATATCACTGCTTTCTGGCAGCAAATACATTTGGGAGCAAATATTTTCGGGGTGAAGCACCAAAATGAAGACTAACATTTCACCCAAGAGCTCCGATGAGCACCTTGAGAACTCCCTAAGAATTGATACCACTTTCTCGGAGCCACACTGAGGCATCAGTTTCACAAAACAAAGTCCACAGAACAATTACCCATTCTGCTGTATGTCCCGTGCATCTATCCTGACCATTCTACCATGTACAAATCAGGATTGTATGCTGTCCTGCTTCGCACTCACACGGCAGTAAAAGTGAAAGGAATCAAACCATTGTGAAAGCAGCTCCTGAGCAAAGCAGCGCAAGTAATCCAGTGGAAATCAGAAAGTCGGAGGTGGAGTGGAACCCACTCAGCAGTCAGAACTCTTTTTTTAAAGAACCAAAGCAGAGAGGTTGGTGTATGTCGTCGATTATAACGTGGAGTTGTGGTTGTAGGGGCTCTTTAACTAGCCTTGAGTGGGACTGAAGTGAGAACGTTTGGAGGAGTCTGGCCAAGAATGTATTAAACAGCACTATTTTTTCTGACGAGGAGCGCTGCTTTGTCTGACCACAAGTACGTGCAGTTGTCACCACAAAAGGAAACAAAGATGCTCTAGAGAAACCTTAGTTAGCTTAATTAGCGTGGGAAAAGGTTTGAGTGGAGATCTGACCAGATAATGAGCAGCCACCTTAGGCTGATGGGCTGGCACCTGGATTCTGCACACTATTGCTCTATAACACTTACACAACCAAAAGAAAGCAACCAATCAACAGTTCTATGCCTGCTTCTTAAGTGATATGTGATGCCTGGCATCCAGCTCTGGGTGAGCTTGCTGTGTGAATTCCTGCCTGGCACTTGAATCTGTGCAGACTTGGAATACAGGTTGAGCAGCAGACCTCGACTGCTTCTGTGCTTCAGCACATCAGGAACAATCCGACCCCTGCTGAGGAACAGAGCGGTTAAGCACTGGGCTTAAACGGAGCTCTGGGCAAGGAGGTGCCCTGCTAGGGAAATGGACTGGGAGTCTGGGCTCTTCCAGGAAGCTCTGGTTGGAAAAAGGCTGTGGAGGAGCTCACTGATCCCCACCCAGCAGCAGACCTGGGAGGGGAACCCTGTGAATAGAGCCTGGCTGGAAGCCATCCAGGCAGCATTGTGGTGGCAGGAGATGCACCAGGGCCATCCTCAGCCAGGCCTGAGTCGAGAACACTTTGCATCCTCTGCTCTGTGTGACTCCAAGGAGCCGGGCTGCCTGCAACAGGGATCCATGCCCAAGGTAAGTGTCCTCCATTGCTCATGCAGAGAAGCTTTAACCCATTCTCAGATGCTTTGTGGGACTGCCTCCATTCTCAAGGATGCTTTTCTGCCCCTGCCTGCAGCACCAGGAGGGGAGAGGGGAACAGCAAAGGGTGGTTCAGAACCAGCACTGCTTTACCCCAGGTGGAATCCCGGTCCCGGCTCCATCTCCTGCCCAGCACAACAGGTTTGCTGGGCAGAGGGGATGCAACGAAGGGAGCAGCAGTTCCCAGGCGTGGTGTAGCCCAGGCTGGGCTCCGAGGGACACAGGAAGGGGTTGGAGCTGGGAAATGAGGAAGCGAGCAGTGGAGGTCAGTGTGCTCTGCTACCTTTTGGCTTTCTAATACAGCATAGCTGGGGCTGCATTTCTCCTCCTTCCTGTAGGCCATGCAAGACACAGGATGACCTTGCTCTGCACCTCTGCATGCATGGATTATTCCTATATGTTTAAAATACTTCCTACCTCCTGCCTGCTTTTGAGTTTGTCAAGCCTCCAAGTAGGGAATTTCTATTTCCCTCCCCGCTCCCTACCAGGCCCCTATTTTCCTTTAGGGAATCCAGCAGGCAAGATGGACCTCTAGCGTCTCTTTTAAGGTTACCTTATGTTCAGCTAGTGCTTGGCTTGGTTGCTCACTTGTTTTGAGGCTTGTGCTACCCCCTGAACTACAGGACTGGGGTTTCTTTGTTGTTCAAACCCTTCCCAAAGTTTCTGTTGAGGATTTCCTTTCAGCTGAAGATGTCTTTAGCACACAGCTGCTGCTGGCCCTGAGCATGTTCAGCTCCTGCACCAGCTCCAGCACTGGGCTCCAGTTCTGTTCTGTGCACGTGCACACTGCATTTCTCCTTGTATTTGAATTCCAGGGACAGTGGGAACTTCGGTGCAGTGGTTTAACTGCAGCAGGGAGCTCAGCACAGCACCCAGCTTACTCACTCCTAAACACAGTAGGGGAGAAAATACATTGAAAAGCTGACAGCTTGTGGGCTGGGTTAAGAACAGGACTGGTTGCCATTAGTAGGAAAGGAAAGGTTAACTTACTGCCTCTTAGCCTTACTGTTGACAAACTAGAGCAGGGAGAATGAAAAGCCATCTGAAAACATCTACCCTCCTCATCCCCATTCTTCCTCCTCTCCCCAGGAGGAGCAAGGGAGTGGTTTTGCAGTTAGCTCATCGAAAGACATGCTTTTGCTCAGCAGCAGTGTTCTTTCTCCCATCAGAGACAAAGTAAGATCGGGGAATCATTTTCTTGTCCTATCATCTGGACAGTGAAGTCTCAACACAACTGGGCCCTCTCCTTCTGTCTCTGTAGTCCTGGAGCTGGAAGTGGATTCACCTCTCTCCCATGCACTCTGCTCAGAAGGAGGTGGGGTTCCTCTTTCCTCAGTTCATGTCTGTGTTAAAAACAAGCTCCTGCCCCTGTGCTGTATTACAGCTATACTGTGGGAGGGGGCAGTATCTGAAACATCAGACACATGGTGGGATGGCCAGCTGAATTTGACAGCAGATGTCAACATTGTGCAGGGCAGCCTGTTGGCTGGTCAGCTCTCCAAATAGTGCTATGTACCACTGGCAGAGCTAAGTTTCTCTCTTTCTGTTTTTCATAATTGTACTTATTAGGTCAATTAGCAATAAAGAAATTTGAACGGAATTTCTAAGAACAGATCTTTCCTAATGTGCTGCATCCTTACATTGCCTATCCTAGTTCTAAAGGTATACTAATCAGAAGAGGAAGTCCATGTAGAGTGTATGTCCTCTGGTAAGTGAGAAGGGAGAACTGGAAACAGCAGACACTGAGGAAGTTGTGGTACTCCACAAGTTCTTTGCCTCAGCCTCCACTGGCAGTCAGGCTTCCCATCTCTCTCAAGTCCCTTAACTTCTAAGTGAGGGTGTTGAGGGAACCAAATCCTCCCACTGTAAGCAAAGAACAGATTTGAGCTGAACACGTACAAGACTATAAGGTCTGATGTACATCCCAGGAACTCAGTGATGTAGCAGTCAAGTCAGCCTCCATCATAACTGAAATGTCATGGCTGTCAGGTGAAGTCCTCAGTAGCTGGAAAAAGAGAGAAAAGAGTCCCATTTTTAAGAAGGGTAAACAAAGACCCAGGAAACTACAGGCCTCTGAGATCACCTCTGTTCTTGGGAATACCATGGAAAATATCCTCCTGGGAGCTATCGTGAGGCACATGCAAGACAAGGAGAAGATCCTAGACAGCCAGCATGGGTTTACCAAGTGCAGATCATGCCTGACCAATCTGGTGGCTTTCCATGATTAAATGAAAGCACTGGTAGTCAAGGGGGAGCTTGACTGAAGTAATCTACCTGGACTTGTGCAAGGCTTTGATATGGTCTCAGTCCACATCCTTATCTCTAATTTGGAGATACGTGGATTTGAAAAGTGGATTAGTAGCTGGCTGTATGACTGCAGCCTGAGGGTTGTGGTCAGCAGCTCTGTGTCCAGGTGGAGGCTAACAATAAGTGGTTATATTAAGG